GTACTTTGGCAAATACCGAGTACTTATGCAAATACCAAGCAAGTACCAAGTACTTTGGCAAGTACCGAGTACTTTGGCAAGTACCAAGTACTTTTGCAAGTTCAGCAAGTTTTTCGCCAATATCGAAGCTTCTAGACGTCCGATCGTCACCGGAAAAACACCATTCGTTCTCCCGAATCTTTTTATGGCCAAAGCGACGCGGAGCGAGCCAAGATATCTTGTAATATACCATTTGAGTAGGATTGCGGGTTTTTTGAAACGCTCAGTTTTTGCAGCGAGCTTTTTCTCTTAGGGCCTGCGAGATAGCTGCGTACACACATATCTTCAACATTGCGCGCCACACAGGAATGCGGCTGATTCACGTGCTTTTGTGAGCGAGGTGCTTCCCTCCGGGAGAAATTCGCCGTCCCCGTATGCTTAACACGGAGCCGAGCGGCGGCTGACAGGTGGCCGGCTCTCGGGAGATCGGCAGCCGACACTCGAAAAATCGACAAGCCGCCGCTGAATGCGCGTGCGGCAGTGCTGAGCCGAGTCGTTCCCACGGTCTGAGGTACCCCCAGTTTGAAGATTCGGCTGTAGAATATGTAGTTTTAAATACGTAGTTTGACGTACATCTCGGAAAAGTGAGATACGGCCAGAAATGAGTGTGGGTCCCTCAGTTCTGAAGATTCTGATCGACGCCGATTGAAATAATTCACCGTGCATATCTCGGCTTATTGACGACCGATTGACACGGGATAAACACCGATCGATACCAAATGGCTCTGTGGGGGGGAGGGGGGAGTAGAGTGGCAAGTTTTCCTACCCGACGAACCCGGAATTATCCCGAGGGGGTAGGTGTGGGAGTAGAGTCGGGGGAACGGGGGGGGGGGCGAGTGCAAGTACCAAGTACTTTCGCAAGTACCAACCAAGTACCAAGTACTTTTACAAGTACCAAGCAAGTACCAAGTACTTATGGAAATACCAAGCAAGTACCAAGTACTTTGGCAAATACCGAGTACTTATGCAAATACCAAGCAAGTACCAAGTACTTTGGCAAGTACCAAGCAAGTACCAAGTACTTTTGCAAGTTTAGCAAGTTTTTCGCCAACATCGAAGCTTCTAGACGTCCGATCGTCACCGGAAAAACACAATTCGATCCCAAATTTTCTCCCGAATCTTTTTATGGCCAAAGCGACGCGGAGCGAGCCAAGATATCTTGTTTAGTTATTCATTTGAGTAGGATTGCGGGTTTTTTGAAACGTTGAGTTTTTGCAGCGAGCTTTTTCTCTTAGGGCTTGCGAGATAGCTGCGTGCACACATATCTCTTCAACATTGCGCGCCTCACAGGAATGCGGCTGATTCACGTGCTTTTGTGAGCGAGGTGCTTCCCTCCGGGAGAAATTCGCCGTCCCCATATGCTTAACACAGAGCCGAGCGGCGGCTGACAGGTGGCCGGCTCTCGGGAGATCGGCAGCCGACACTCGAAAAATCGACAAGCCGCCGCTGAATGCGCGTGCGGCAGTGCTGAGCCGAGTCGTTCCCACGGTCTGAGGTACCCCCAGTTGGAAGATTCGGCTGTAGAATATGTAGTTTTAAATACGTAGTTTGACGTACATCTCGGAAAAGTGAGATACGGCCAGAAATGAGTGTGGGTCCCTCCGTTCTGAAGATTCTGATCGACGCCGATTGAAATAATTCGCCGTGCATATCTCGGCTTATTGACGACCGATTGACACGGGATAAACACCGATCGATACCAAATGGCTCTGTGGGGGGGGGAGTAGAGTGGCAAGTTTTCCTACCCGACGAACCCGGAATTATCCCGAGGGGTAGGTGTGGGAGTAGAGTCGGGGGAACGGGGGGGGCGAGTGCAAGTACCAAGTACTTTCGCAAGTACCAAGCAAGTACCAAGTACTTTTACAAGTACCAAGCAAGTACCAAGTACTTATGGAAATACCAAGCAAGTACCAAGTACTTTGGCAAGTACCGAGTACTTTGGCAAGTACCAAGCAAGTACCAAGTACTTTTGCAAGTTCAGCAAGTTTTTCGCCAATATCGAAGCTTCTAGACGTCCGATCGTCACCGGAAAAACACCATTCGATCCCAAATTTTCTCCCGAATCTTTTTATGGCCAAAGCGACGCGGAGCGAGCCAAGATATCTTGTTTAAATATCCATTTGAGTAGGATTTCGGGTTTTTTGAAGCGGTCAGTTTTTGCAGCGAGCTTTTCCTGTTAGGGCTTGCGAGATACCCGCGGAAACACATATCTCTTCAGCATTGCGCGCCACACAGGAATGCGGCTGATTCACGTGCTTTAGTGAGCGAGGTGCTTCCCTCCGGGAGAAATTCGCCGTCCCCATATGCTTAACACAGAGCCGAGCGGCGGCTGACAGGTGGCCGGCTCTCGGAAGATCGGCAGCCGACACTCGAAAAATCGACAAACCGCCGCTGAATGCGCGTGCGGCAGTGCTGAGCCGAGTCGTTCCCACGGTCTGGCGGCCAGCTGGGTGGGGGCGGGGTGGGGAGTGGGGCGGCCGATTGCCAGCCGCTTCTCCACGGGCAGGTGCTGCCATCTGCGCAGTAGTTCCACTGGCGGCCGCCAGGCCCGTGCGGCAAGCGGGCCGTCTGCTTTAAACGTCGGAAAGAATCAAGTTCTTTGCGGTATTTAGGCAAGTAAATACCAAGTATTTTAGAACAAGTTCTTTGCGGTATTTAGGCAAGTAAATACCTTTGGCAGGTTTTCAGTACATTAGCAAGTTTTCAGTACATTACCAAGTAGCAGGTGATACAGCAAGCTGAAAGTTCAACAAGTTTTTCGCAAATATCTAAGCTTCTAGACGTCCGATCAACACGGGACGAACACCAATCGGTCCCAAATTTTCTCCTTAATCATTTTATGGCCAACGCGACGCGGAGCGAGCCAAGATATCTTGTTATATACTATTTGGTTGCATTTCATTGAAAGTATCCACGGCCGGCTGACGGCTGGCTGCCCACAGTTTGCTACGGCTGTGGGCGGCTGTGGCTGTGGAGCCACGGCTGCGGGGTGGCTAGGCTGTGGAAAATTGCAGCCGTGCAGAACTCTAGTCGACGGCCTCAGAACAGAGTTATCGCGAAGATGCCCGGCAAAAGTTTGAGATGTGCGTTCACTCAAAGAACATCATAGAAGCAGCATCACCATAAGCTAGCTTCTTTCTGGTTTCTTTCAGAGATATCTCGTGCGGACTCCGTATTATGCATTTTACCGTTCACGATTTCCTCACTTTCCTCTTCGACCATGATATTTCCTTTCGGGCGAAGTTCGCTATTGTGAATATACAGCAGGCAGACAAAACACGTCACAGTACCGGATGACGTCGCTTCCGAAGGCAGCTCCGCCCGCCCAAAATATTCTCGGTTCTTCCTCGTCAAGCGCTTTTCAGATTTTCGATGCATTTCATGGAAGGGATAATGGTTTCAGCCTACGCACAATACGTTTTGATTGATGCGAAATCTGTTAACGACTGTAAGCTCCGTTAGGTGGAATATGTGCTGGTAATTATGCGCTTTTTGTGATGACGTAAAATTAAAAACGTCTTTGGCTAAGCCTGTATACCTACTTTTTACCCCGTTTCTTGGACGCGTACTTCCTGACCCTACCAGGCCTCGGTGTAATTAATGATGCTCGTGGAAAAATCGTATAGACGGATGCGGATGTTAACCAGTCATCAATTGACATCTGGAAAAGCTGCTGCTGTTGAATAACAAAATCCCGAAACTACCGCATCTGCTAGCATCCGCATATCTAGCAAACATGCCCTATTTCCCGGTCTCCATCCTCAGCGGGGAGCAGTCGACTTGGCAGCCGGGCGTCTAGCGCTGTTCTAACTGGCAGGTAGGCTGTGCCGCACGGCACCGCTGCACGGCGGCACAGCGTCCCTCCTGAGCGAAGTGTGAGCGCTGAATGCCCAATGCCTGGCTCGGAGTCCGCAACGGAGCGGATTACGCATTTGCTGAACGTAAAGACGTCGATTACTGTTGAACGGTGCATGTTATGTGCGATTGCCGGGCGTATATAATAAATTGTAACTGCTAATGATATGGTTGGTCGACTGGCTGACTGTTTCGCCTTTCTGCAGAATTCACCGGCCCCTTCCTCAAAACACGCCGCTGACGTGACCTCTGTGACCCAGTGGCGGACCCAGGGGAGGGCAAATAGGGTATTTGCCCCTCCCAAACGGCAAAATTTTAGCATTACGCCTATAGACAGTGCATGGAAAGAAACGCTAAATTGTTATGGTTTGCCCCTTCCAAAACTCTGAGCTGGATCCGCCAGTGCCTCTGTCGGAAGCAATTGCCAAAACTTTGCTTTGGTTTTTAGCATAATACTGTAGGTCATTATTTGACGTAACATCCCTTCAGCCCTGGGCTGGTTTAGGGAAAAAATGAAGTAAGTTTGATAGTTTCTGTGTTGCACACATGTTGTCTTCCAGTCTGTCCCAGGATATTTTCTTTTTTTCGATAATTTCAATATGACTGAAATGTCCAGATGATGCGGTGATTTGCTAACCGCTCGAGCAAGTAGACCGCATGAACCGTTCAGAATAGAAGCTGTCTTGGCTGGTAGAAGTAGTGTTCACTTTCACAGTACAATGTAGAAAAAGAAGCATTACTTTATTGACCGGATGCACAGTTCGGCGTCCGATTGAATCGAAGGAGAGGAATCCATCTTTAGAAACGGATTGATATCGGAATAGATGTAATTCACTTTAGCAGACATGCTCAGGAACTAGAGGCACACCCGATGGCAATTAGTGAATTGGCAATATGTTCTCTGTGGCCTTACCGTAGCCCCTCTACCAATGCATTACTTTTACGCCCATCGAACTCACATTGTTTACATTTCAGAGTCCCCATCAATGACATCGGGACATATTTTCCTGGTAGGTACATGTCATTGATGTCCCTTAATACGGCGGTACGGCCCATAAATCCTACAAAGCATCAGCTCCCCACTCTTCCACTCGAAAACGCTCGGCTTGCTTTAAAATAGTATTGAAGAATGCACGATAAATACCCAGGCTTTGCACAGCGACGCCGTCTCGCGCCACAAGGCGACCGAACAGCGCGCGCCGGCGCGAGGCCAGGCGGCGCGCCACAGTCGCGGTCTTACAAAGCCCGCGCGCCAGTGTACAAACCGATTATCGAAAAGCACCCGCGTCGCGTCGCGCGCGAGCCCGCGTAGGCGCGATATGTGTGTGCGCGTGGGCGGCGGGCTAGAGCGGGGGCGGGGGCGGCGGCGGCCGCCCACCATTGCACAGTGCGGTGGCGGTAAGAAGGCGCGCGCGCGCGCTACTCAAAGCCGCGACTCCTCGGGAGCGCGGTGGCCGTTGGTCAGCGCAGTAGCGCCATCTGTGACTGGCGGCGTGCACTTGAGCTTGGCTGCGTCGCCGGCAGGGGCGCTGTCGTCGGCCTGCCTCACGAATATCTGGATTTTGTCGCCGAAATGGGCGGCGTCGCCGTTTGTGGTCGGCTCGGACGAGTTCCGGCCGATCACGATCACCTGAAAAATGGAGACTGTTAGCCGAAGATTCTAGAACAAAGCGCGTAATTCTGGCATTTGACGTGGCAGAGTGCGAAACAGATACAGGGTGTTTCTGAAAATGCTGACACATTTGCTTTGATATTTGGAGGTATTTACTGCATTTAAATGCACGTGTTCAATACACGAGACGAAATAATAGTTTTAGGAAATTTGATTGACAGCATCGGTGCTTTCATTAATCACGCCGTTTTACTGAAATGAAGGAAAAGGCTAAGATAGTGCATTTCTACTTCGAAGACAATTCAGTTGTTTTGACACAAAGACGCTGATCTGGATCTGGATCTGGATCTGATTTGGACAACCGGATCTGGAGCGAGAAGGCCCAGGACGAGGTCGCAGAAGATCAGCTGCACCCGCCCCGATGCACTGCATGGTGCGCTGTGAGCAGCACGCGCACCATGCAGCCCAATCTGGATCGAAGATGACGCGGGCGACGTCCTCACGGTGATGGCGGAGCGCTATCTGCCGGACGTGCTCAAGAAGTTCTGGACTGCGCTCCAGCGGAAGTGTGTGGACACCATCAACGAGCAGTGGCTGCAGCAGGATGGTGCCCCCGCTCATGCAGCTATTGTGACCCTCCAGTGGCTACAGGAGCGCTTCGGGGGGGGGGGGGGGGGGAGGACTCATGTCCCGAGGCACCCTCACCAGGTGGCAACTGAGGTCTCCGGACCTCACGCCGGCGGACTTCTACCTCTGGGGTCATGTCAAGGAAAGAGCCTACATACAAGAGTGAACCCGAGACATTCCCGAGCTGAAGGCTACGGTCCGCGCGTGCGTGAGGGCGGTGACGCCCCAGGAGCGCCGCCGAGTTCTGGAAGCAGTGCGCCGTCGGGCCGAACGCTGTTTGGCCAGAAGTGGTGGTCACTTCGAGCACCTGCTCTAGGTTCCGGGAAGGGGGTCAAATAGTGATCATTGGCGATGGATGTGAATTTCCAATGATGACTGATTAGTTGTAGCCTATGACAATGTGTGTGCGTCAATTAACATGAGAGATATAGGAGAAATAAATGTGTCAGCATTTTCAGAAACACCCTGTACATCCTAAGCAAATGAAGGAAGGTATCGTTGAACTCCGCTTAGCGCAAAAGCAAGGTGGGAGAAAGTAGTAATTGTTAACCGTAGCTGACAAAAAAGTGAAACGAAGATACAAATCACTGGTATCTATTTTACCTCTCTGACTACGGAGCTCACTGAAGTGATGTCTGCGTCCAGTGACCTCTCTACCTAGAACCCCACTGACCTCTGACCTTCCTAACCCAGCGGCCTCCGCTCATCAGTGACCGCTGCCCTGCAGCCCCTCTGCCTATGACCTTCCAATGAACAGTGACCCCTCTGTAACCAGTGACCAAGGACTAACCAGTGACCAATGACTACCCAGTGACCATTGACTACCCAGTGACCAATGACTACCCAGTGACCCAGTGACATTCTGCCCTGTAACCATTCTTCCCAGTGACCCCCGTGACTGACCTGCGGCCGGCTGGGCATCCTCTCGTCCATATCCACCGATCTTCGGGAAGGCGAGCGGCCGCGGCCAGCCGCCTGGCCATTGGTCAGCGCCGCCAGCGGTGACGTCACTGCGCCGGCCGGTGACGTCACCGGGCCGCCGCCCGAGGCGTGTCGCGGCCGCAGCTGTGGCGTCAGCGCGCCCTCCAGCTCCACCTGTGGACGGGGTAGGGGAGGGGGCACAGGGGGTCAACAGTTGGGAGACCCTGACATGGAGCAGGAGGGGGACGAGGGCCGAAATTGATATTGTTCTCATTTCTTTCTATGCACTGTGGGTAGTAGGCAGAAGCAGAGTAAAACGTGGCGTCGAAGGAAGACCGAAACCCTACCACCACAGATGAGGAAGAAGTAACCAAAGACGTAACCGAGGCGTAACTGAAGGGTAATGGACGGGAAAATTTAGAGTAACGGAGCAATAACAGTGCACCAACGAAGAACATCTCTGGGGAGTACTTAGCTAGCTAAGGGGAACGAGTGGGTAACTGAGGAGTGAGGATGATTGGAGAGGCATTGGAAAGATGGTAACTGAAGGCCCAAGGGCGACCGAGATGAAAAGGGCGAGATGGGAAAGGGCGACAAACGATTTTCCAGCGTATCCGTACCGTCTCCTCGCTGGCCAGTGGCGCCTCGTCGTCACTGCAGGGGTGGTCGGCCTGCGGCGGTCGGAGCGCGCCGCCGCCGGCCGGCAGCGTGCTGTAGACGCCGCCGCGCGACAGGCGGGTCGGAGAGCCCTGCACCGCTGCCGCTGCTGGGGCTGCCGGGGAGCTGTCGGCCGCTGAAAAAGGGGGATGGTTAACAGTCAGCAAATCATGGCCACAGCTCCTTACAGAAAACCAAATGACACTGGAGAAGGCACAAGCGCCAATGGAACCGCATCTTATAGTGAAGAAACAGCTCAGTCATTCAAACATACATTAGATTCTCCTTAGATGTGTTATAAGAACACAAACGAACAAGGGAGGCCCATAATTTTTATTACCGGTGCTGGTGTGGTATAAACAGCACACCGGTAGCTACTCGGAAAAGACTACTACTCACTACTCGCTCTACTAGACAGCACAGCCAAGAGTCGCCATGGCAGCCTACTGCCGCCCCTGAGCACCGCACTACTCACCCTCATCTGTGGCGGCTGCCGCCGGCTCTGCGGGCTCCGAGCTCTCGGTAGCGGTGGTGTCTGCCGCCGCCTCTCCCTCCGAGACGCCGCCCACCGCGCCGGCCGGGGCGGGGGCGGCGGCGGCGGGGGCGGCGGCGGGGGCGGGGGCGGCGTCTCCGGCCGCCCGCACTGGTATCCGGTAGGCCCAGTGGCGCGGGTGGTCGCCGCTCTCCGGGGTAGCCTCTGTGAACGGCGGACGGGGATCGGTCAGATACAGTCAGATAATCAGAAAGTCAGACACTCAGGTGGACAGTCAAGACGGTGGGCACTCGCCACTCGACACACCAGACGATCACTCCGTGACTTGACGCGAAGAATATATAACGAAAGTAATTCACCGCTGGAGATGAATTGAGGGACTTATAACTCATTCTCGCATGACTGTTGACTTCTGAATACAGTTAAAAATCAACGCATCCAAGGAAACACAATGCTAAGCTGGTAGACACTAAATCCGCATAACTAAATCTCAAACACCGTGACACAGCACAACCGCCCTTTCGTCCGTCAGCCTACCCATCCATGCCGTTCCATCCATCAGCTATTCCCTTCACACCTTAGTCCCTCTACATCCGTCCCGCTCTATCCGTCCATGAATTTCCATCTGTCAACCCTTCCCTCCATCATTCGCCGCCGCCTCTCCCGTCTGACCTGCTGCGCAGTTCCTCAGCGTCTGCCGCTGGTAGAACAGGATGTACGCGTCCGGACTGACAACGGCCGCCTCCTCGACTCGCTGTACTCGCGAGTCGTCGTACCGGTACCAGTTGCCGTCCGTGGCGTTACGGCACAGCGCTGTGAGGAGGTACAGGGGTACAGGGTTAGAAGGGTACAGTCGTACCGGTACCATAGAGTCAGAGGGGTACACGGGGTGGTACCGTGGTACAGTCGTACCGGTACCAGTTGCCGTCCGTGGCGTTACGACACAGCGCTGTACGGGGTACAGAGGGTAGGTACAGATTACAGTTAGATGGGTACAGTCGTACCGGTACCAGTTGCCGTCGGTGGCGTTACGGCACAACGCTGAGGGGTACAATACAAGGTTAGAGGGGTACAGTCGTACCGGTACCAGTTGCCGTCCGTGGCGTTACGGCACAGCGCTAAACGGGGTACGGAGGGTACAGTCAGAGAGGTACAGTCGAACCGGTACCAGTTGCCGTCGGTGGCATTACGGCACAACGCTGGGAGAGGTACAGGTCTCGCGAGATTAAGCGGTAGGTTTTGCACTTTTACATTGCCGGTTATATCTCAGAAGCTAATCGATCTACGATGAAGCCATTTTACATGATCATGGCCGGCTTGTTACCCAACAAGTCGATCGTATCTTCAACACTTAAAGGCTTAAGACGACGAAGATATAGCCTGAAGTACACAAAATTTTCTAGGTGCAAAACCTACCGCTAAAACCCGCGAGACCTGTACAATACAGAGTTAGACGGGTATAGTCGTACCGGTACCAGTTGCCGTCCGTGGCATTACGACACAGCGCTGACAGGTAAAATAGAGTCAGAGAGGTAGTAACGGGGTGGTACCGTGGTACAGTCGTAACAGTACCAGTTGCCGTCAGAATGCAGGGGAACAGATCAAATTTAAAGAAGCAGATATCACAGGGGTATATGTCAGGACCAAAATAGTCATTCTCTTTGCCCTCCTTCATGATTCCCACGCTCCGCCTGACCTGATTCCCAATCTCCTTTAGTCACCCTTCTCTCTTAATCCAACCTTTGCACTCCCGGCTTCCCAAACTCCGCCTGCACCCATCCTCCCTCTCACCGGCTTCTTCCTCCCAAGCTCCCTTCCTCCCTCTCTCCTCTCCCTCCCCTCTCACCAGTGTAGTGTCCGCTCTGCAGGTCCTTCCCATGATGGTTACACACAGCGTACAGTTCGTACACCTCGCCGGCGCGCGCGGCCGCCGCGCCGCCGCGCTGGCGCCGTTTCCATGGCGACCAGCCGCTGAGGAGGCTGAGGGCGCCGGGGGCGGAGTCGGCGCCGGAGGGCCGGTGTGACAGGTGCTGCGACATGTCCAGTCGCTGCAGCGGGAACTCCACCAGCGTGGTCAACTTGGACGTGCTCCGCTGGTTGTTCGTCTGAGAAAATACAGGGCAGAACAGGGGTGAGATTGGATGGTGTATTTAATTGAATGAATGATGGCAGTACAGAGTGGATTCAGTGAGATGTAAGATGCCATGCTGAGGGCAGACAGAGAAGAGATATAGGCTAAAAACCGCAGACCAAGGAAGTTGAACATCGGTTAAATCTCGGCGATCTGGACATTGGACGTAACAAATAAAAGAAACTAATGGATACATAGCTGATTGAGTACCTTGGAAATGGCTGATGTGCAATCATACGTCGGCAATCAGTTACATAATACATATTGAAGCGTTTCAGCAGGGCCATTAGCAGAATCTAACTGAACCATTAACACTAGGCAGGGTTAACGGTAGTTCCACAGCCCGACGATTCATTACCTGTCCGTATCCAAGCCATTTCAGGTGCAGTCATTGAGCCATTAGCAGCATCTAGCAGTATCACTAACAGCGCCGCCCAGCAGGCCGGCAGTTAGTTACCTGTCTGAAGCGTTTGAGGTGTATGACCAGGATGTCCGGTATCGACCAGAGACTGAGCCGCTTCTCAGCCTGCTGACTGGACTGACAGCCGGGGCACCGCCAGCTGTCCTCCGGGCCGAGCCGCTCCGACCTGAGGTCAGACAGAGGTCACAGAGGTCACAGAGAGGTCACAGAGAGGTCACACAGAGGTCACAGGGAGGTCACAATACAGCCAGGGCAGCGCCAGCTGTCTTCGGGGCCCAGCCGCTCCGACCTGGGGTCAGAGAGAGGTCACAGAGGTCACAGAGGTCACAGTACAGCCGGGGCAGCGCCAGCTGTCATCGGGGCCGGGCCGCTCCGACCTGAGGTTAGAGAGAGGTCACAGAGGTGAAGGTCACACAGAGGTGATCTTTGTTTGTATCGAAGCCAATTCCTGGCGAAACTATAGTTCGTTTTTTTTTTCAAAAGGACGCTGGCTCCAAGTATGTTTTTCGAACAAGCACGTGTTTTAGCGAGCAAAACGAGCAAAAACTGAACCTGAGAAAATCGAACGTCGACTAATTTTAACATGTGATTTCTTCCCGATAATTTCCATATGTGCGTTTTGGAACCATATATGAGAATAGTGGTGACGTCATACTGTCGAACATGTATTGCAATGTAACTTATAACTATCATGGGCGGAACTGCTTACTCGATTATAAGCTCGGCAACAGTGAAAAACTAAGCTTCACCCAAATTCGTTGACACTTGTCCCATTGCACGGACATTTGGGTGCCTGCTGCCACCAGTGACGTCATCATAGTATGTTCATTTTTAAGAAACAATTTCCAGCTACTTACCGTGCACAATTTGAAATCGGTTATTTTTTCGGTAAGAAATTCTTCGCCAGACACTGAAGCTGCCAAAACTCACGTGAGAGCTTCGATATTGAACTTTGAGCCAGCGTCCTTTTGAAAAAAAAACGAACTATAGAACACAATAGTGATAAACAGTGGTCTATATCCTGGCATTTAGAGGAGTTGCATTACATTAGTGAGAGAAGCTCCGAGCAGGCTAACACGCACGTAGAGACACACTCAGATTGCTAACGAGTACGAACACTTATTTCGCGTACTGTTACGGACACTCACTTTGTGTAGAGTTGGAGGCACTCCTGCAGAGTGACAGACACTTACTTTGTGTAGAGCTGGAGGCACTCCTGCAGAGTGACCGGGCACTCACTTTGTGTAGAGCTGGAGGCACTCCTGCAGAGTGACCGGGCACTCACTTTGTGTAGAGCTGGAGGCACTCCTGCAGAGTGACAGACACTCACTTTGTGTAGAGTTGGAGGCACTCCTGCAGGGTGACGGGACTGAGCGAGTGCCGCGCCACCTCTCGGACAGTCCGGTGTTCCTCCACACAGTCCTCGGTGGAGGCCAGCACACTGGGAACACAGAACGGAACACGTCAGTCTCGGACAGTCCGGTGTTCCTCGACACAGTCCTCGGTGGAGGCCAGCACACTGAGAACACAACGAAAACACAGAACACGTTAGTATGGTAACAGAACGGAAACCCGTAACTCGTCATGTCGGGCCCGACAGTGTGAGCCAGTTTTCGTAATTCAGAAATGCAGGAATACCAAACACTATGCATATTTAGTCCTTGAGCATATTATAACCCAATGTTGGAAATAAGGCCCTTTGCTGACCCCAGTCGGGTCCAAACGATTTTGTTCTCCTTTACAAATTTAGACTCCGGCACCTGAAATCTTTTAAATTTCCAGCCTGTGTGATGAAAAACTGCTATTATTATGGCTAAAACATGCAGTTATAGCATTGAGAGAACACATTCTATTAACAGTCACATTTAGTAGGCCAAACATATGATTTTCCTGTTGAGTGTTCTAAAACCTGGCCTGTTCTGCAGACATATTTTATTCTCCAGGACCATAACCAAAATTCACAATTCCAACATTATTATAACCCCAATTTCACGCTATTTCCTTCTTACCTTCCCTTTCCTAGCCGTCCTATTTCGAAGAAGTCGCCTTTCATCATCATGACTTAGCAAAGCCCTTATTAATCCGTATCTCAATTTTGTTCCAGTCAATCCCTAGCCCTTCCCACTCTCCCTTATCTCCTAACTCTTTCCATTCCATCCTCTCCCTCCCTCTGCCCACCTGTCGATGGCGTTCTATTCCCACTCCAGCAGCAGTGTGACGTGCTCTCCTCCCTCCCTCTGCCCACCTGTCGATGGCGTCCTGTCCCCACTCCAGCAGCAGTGTGACGTCCTCTCCCTCCCTCTGCCCACCTGTCGATGGCGTCCTGTCCCCACTCCAGCAGCAGTGTGACGTCCTCTCCCTCCCTCTGCCCACCTGTCGATGGCGTCCTGTTCCCACTCCAGCAGCAGTGTGACGTGCTCCCTCCCTCCCTCTGCCCACCTGTCGATGGCGTCCTGTTCCCACTCCAGCAGCAGTATGACGTGCTCCCTCCCTCCCTCTGCCCACCTGTCGATGGCGTCCTGTTCCCACTCCAGCAGCAGTGTGACGTGCTCCCTCCCTCCCTCTGCCCACCTGTCGATGGCGCCCTGTTCCCACTCCAGCAGCAGTGTGACGTGCTCTCCCTCTCCATCCCACTGCCCACCTGTTGATGGCGTCCTGTTCCCACTCCAGCAGCAGTGTGACGTGCTCCCTCCCTCCCTCTGCCCACCTGTCGATGGCGTCCTGTTCCCACTCCAGCAGCAGTGTGACGTGCTCCCTCCCTCTGCCCACCTGTCGATGGCGTCCTGTTCCCACTCCAGCAGCAGTGTGACGTGCTCTCTCCCTCCCCCTGCCCACCCTGTCGATGGCGTCCTGTTCCCACTCCAGCAGCAGTGTGACGTGCTCTCTCTCCCTCCCTCTGCCCACCTGTCGATGGCGTCCTGTTCCCACTCCAGCAGCAGTGTGACGTGCTCCCTCCCTCCCTTCCTCTGCCCACCTGTCGATGGCGTCCTGTTCCCACTCCAGCAGCAGTGTGACATGCTCTCTCCCTCCCTCCCACTGCCCACCTGTCGATGGCGTCCTGTTCCCACTCCAGCAGCAGTGTGACGTGCTCCCTCTCTCTCTCCCTCCCTCTGCCCACCTGTCGATGGCGTCCTGTTCCCACTCCAGCAGCAGTGTGACATGCTCTCTCCCTCCCTCCCTCTGCCCACCTGTCGATGGCGTCCTGTTCCCACTCCAGCAGCAGTGTGACGTGCTCCCTCCCTCCCTCTGCCCACCTGTCGATGGCTTCCTGTTCCCACTCCAGCAGCAGTGTGACGTGCTCCCTCCCTCCCTCTGCCCACCTGTCGATGGCGTCCTGTTCCCACTCCAGCAGCAGTGTGACGTGCTCTCTCCCTCTGCCCACCTGACGATGGCGTCCTGTTCCCACTCCAGCAGCAGTGTGACGTGCTCCCTCCCTCTGCCCACCTGTCGATGGCGTCCTGTTCCCACTCCAGCAGCAGTGTGACGTGCTCTCTCCCTCCCTCCCTCTGCCCACCTGTCGATGGCGTCCTGTTCCCACTCCAGCAGCAGCGTGACGTGCTCCCTCCCTCTACCCACCTGTCGATGGCGTCCTGTTCCCACTCCAGCAGCAGTGTGACGTGCTCCCTCCCTCCCTCTGCCCACCTGTCGATGGCGTCCTGTTCCCACTCCAGCAGCAGTGTGACGTGCTCCCCCTCCCTCCCTCCCTCTGCCCACCTGTCGATGGCGTCCTGTTCCCACTCCAGCAGCAGTGTGACGTGCCCTCCCTCCCTCCCTCTGCCCACCTGTCGATGGCGTCCTGTTCCCACTCCAGCAGCAGTGTGACGTGCTCTCCCTCCCTCTGCCCACCTGTCGATGGCGTCCTGTTCCCACTCCAGCAGCAGTGTAACGTGCTCCCTCCCTTCCTCTGCCCACCTGTCGATGGCGTCCTGTTCCCACTCCAGCAGCAGTGTGACGTGCTCTCCCTCCCTCTGCCCACCTGTCGATGGCGTCCTGTTCCCACTCCAGCAGCAGTGTGACGTGCTCTCTCACCCTCCCTCTGCCCACCTGTCGATGGCGTCCTGTTCCCACTCCAGCAGCAGTGTGACGTGCTCCCTCCCTCCCTCTGCCCACCTGTCGATGGCGTCCTGTTCCCACTCCAGCAGCAGTGTGACGTGCTCCCTCCCTCCCTCTGCCCACCTGTCGATGGCGTCCTGTTCCCACTCCAGCAGCAGTGTGACGTGCTCCCTCCCTCCCTCTGCCCACCTGTCGATGGCGTCCTGTTCCCACTCCAGCAGCAGTGTGACGTGCTCCCTCCCTCCCTCCCTCTGCCCACCTGTCGATGGCGTCCTGTTCCCACTCCAGCAGCAGTGTGACGTGCCCTCCCTCCCTCCCTCTGCCCACCTGTCGATGGCGTCCTGTTCCCACTCCAGCAGCAGTGTGACGTGCCCTCCCTCCCTCCCTCTGCCCACCTGTCGATGGCGTCCTGTTCCCACTCCAGCAGCAGTGTGACGTGCTCTCCCTCCCTCTGCCCACCTGTCGATGGCGTCCTGTTCCCACTCCAGCAGCAGTGTGACGTGCTCCCTCCCTCCCTCCCTCTGCCCACCTGTCGATGGCGTCCTGTTCCCACTCCAGCAGCAGTGTGACGTGCCCTCCCTCCCTCCCTCTGCCCACCTGTCGATGGCGTCCTGTTCCCACTCCAGCAGCAGTGTGACGTGCTCCCTCCCTCCCTCTGCCCACCTGTCGATGGCGTCCTGTTCCCACTCCAGCAGCAGTGTGACGTGCTCCCTCCCTCCCTCCCTCTGCCCACCTGTCGATGGCGTCCTGTTCCCACTCCAGCAGCAGTGTGACGTGCCCTCCCTCCCTCCCTCTGCCCACCTGTCGATGGCGTCCTGTTCCCACTCCAGCAGCAGTGTGACGTGCTCTCCCTCCCTCTGCCCACCTGTCGATGGCGTCCTGTTCCCACTCCAGCAGCAGTGTAACGTGCTCCCTCCCTTCCTCTGCCCACCTGTCGATGGCGTCCTGTTCCCACTCCAGCAGCAGTGTGACGTGCTCCCTCCCTCCCTCTGCCCACCTGTCGATGGCGTCCTGTTCCCACTCCAGCAGCAGTGTGACGTGCTCCCTCCCTCCCTCTGCCCACCTGTCGATGGCGTCCTGTTCCCACTCCAGAGCAGCAGTGTGACGTGCTCCCTCCCTCCCTCTGCCCACCTGTCGATGGCGTCCTGTTCCCACTCCAGCAGCAGTGTAACGTGCTCCCTCCCTTCCTCTGCCCACCTGTCGATGGCGTCCTGTTCCCACTCCAGCAGCAGTGTGACGTGCTCCCTCCCTCCCTCTGCCCACCTGTCGATGGCGTCCTGTTCCCACTCCAGCAGCAGTGTGACGTGCTCCCTCCCTCCCTCTGCCCACCTGTCGATGGCGTCCTGTTCCCACTCCAGCAGCAGTGTGACGTGCTCCCTCCCTCCCTCTGCCCACCTGTCGATGGCGTCCTGTTCCCACTCCAGCAGCAGTGTGACGTGCTCCCTCCCTCCCTCTGCCCACCTGTCGATGGCGTCCTGTTTCCACTCCAGCAGCAGTGTGACGTGCTCCCTCCCTCCCTCTGCCCACCTGTCGATGGCGTCCTGTTCCCACTCCAGAGCAGCAGTGTGACGTGCTCCCTCCCTCCCTCTGCCCACCTGTCGATGGCGTCCTGTTCCCACTCCAGCAGCAGTGTGACGTGCCCCCTCCCTCTGCCCACCTGTCGATGGCGTCCTGTTCCCACTCCAGCAGCAGTGTGACGTGCCCTCTCCCTCCCTCTGCCCACCTGTCGATGGCGTCCTGTTCCCACTCCAGCAGCAGTGTGACGTGCTCTCTCTCTCTCCCTCTGCCCACCTGTCGATGGCGTCCTGTTCCCACTCCAGCAGCAGTGTGACGTGTGGCGGCCCGACGCTGGCCGACAGCGCCTCTTCCACGGGCTCCGTGAAGAGCGGGTGCTGCACCGTGTGATCCACGGGAACGCCGTCCACCACACGGACCGTGAACAGGGGCACCTGAGGGAGGAGAGGGGGAGGAAGTTAGTACCTGACGGCGAGGGAGAGAGGACGCTAGAAATGAAGACACGAGTGGGGGCTGTAAGGCGGCAGCAACACAGAACACCTGTAAATTCACTGGCAGCCCGGTAGGGGTTATGTTCTCCAGGTCATTCAGCACGGCAGTTGCAGGTGCAGGGACAGATAAAAATTAAAGCATACGCTCTACTACATGCATAACTATTATTCATGGCAGCAATCTTCGCCACCACGGCATCATTGAGTACGTACAAACACTACGCTTGTCGACGCCCAGGACTAGGATTAGGTATCTTTCTCTTAAAAAAGGAATCTTTCTCTTCCCCGTAAAACCCACCAGGCCATGGCATGGACTGGATGATTCACTGCCAAAATGCGTGCTCCAGTATTGAGCCCTCTGCGCTTAGTTGAGCGCCGGCGTCGGACTCACCTCCTGCGCTGATGAGAGCACGTCCGGCTTCACGACGGCCGCCATCTCCTTCAGCATGAGCTTCTGCAGGTCCTCGTACAGCACGTCCCGGCTCACCTGCATCACGTACGGAGAGCCGAACCTGCCGAAACGTCAACAGGAGCCGGGTAAGAGGATCGTAAGGTAAATCCCCACTGATCACGTACAGAAAGCCGAACCTGCCGAAACGTCAACAGGATGGGTAACATAGCCAAGCTACATCCCTCCCAGCTGACACGAATCAAGGTTATAGAATGCAGCAAGGTTCTCAGCTGGTCCTGAACACAACACTGTATGATTTTACAATCAATTTCCCCGAGGCACAGACGCAAATTGTAGAGATTACAATGAAGATGAGCGGAATAGTGCGGTAGCTGTGGTTCTTCAACAATGTGCCTAAGGATGCCTGTAAGTGCGTAAGCTGTGGTAACATGGACGCACCTTTTGAAAAAAAAAATGCTTAACCCGTAACGAAATCGTGATTAGTAACAGCAACATCAGCTAAGACACATGGAAAACGTTTTGCTGTGCTGAAGCAGTGACCTTTTATTCTTCTCAGCAAAGCAGTATCAAAACATTCGAACGTAACATCCCAATGGAGTGAGCTTGCAGAAAACATAACATCTAAAGCTTCCAAAAATGTTTAAAAGTATTAATCGAAAAAAGCATATAGCCATCCCATCCCACGAAAAAAAATGAAGCTGCATCCCTCTCATTGAAAAGACATGATATCGTTCTAAAGCGAAGCAAAATGGCATGTTACAGTGACTGGTGTTAGCGTGTAATTTGAGCTCGTTGGTATAACAGACCTCCATCCGTGACTCTCAGTATTTGATGGTTCTGAGTGGGGATGTTTACTTGTGATTCTGAAAGGAATAACTTATTAGTCCTACGGATTTAATGGAGAAGAATATTATACTGAAAAAGGATCTTTTTTTAGAAAACGTAGTAAAGCGATGTCCATTCAGCCACATCACTCTCACCACCGCATATCGTATTTCTGGATAAAAACAACATTGATTAATTAGATGGTCGACATCCGGCTACTTTAGTTCTCCTTCACCTGAACATGAATTACGCAAAACGCTATCCCATCCGCGTGGCGTCCTACCAATTAGGTAGTGTAGGACGCGCCAAAGCTAGCCTTACCCTAACGCAGCGCCCTACCTGTGCGACACATCAAAATTTATCCACTCCTATCTGTGTGGTACTCAAGTTGCCCCTCAGCCCTACCTGTGGAGTACGCCTAACTTGGAGAGGCACAAGTTGGCCCTTATCAGTGTCACCGGGAGCGTCCTCCTCACATGTGTTACTCCCCTGTTACTCCTGTGCTACCCCTCAGTTATCCCTCACACCACATTTATCCTTACCAGTGAGGTACTCCCGACTCGGAGAGGCACAGGTTGGCCCACACCAGCGTCACGGGCGCGTCCTCGTCACAGAGATTACTCAACTGTTACCCCTGTGTATTACTCCTCAGTTCCTCCTGTGTTACCCCCGTGTTACCCCTACCTGTGTGGTACTCCCGACTCGGAGAGGCACAGGTTGGCCCAAACCAGTGTCACCGGCGCGTCCTCGTCACAGACCCGGGACGCCGGCGGCAGTTCGATGCAGTAGAGACGCTCCGTGTCGCCGATCGTCCACACGGCGTCAGCGTCTGTCGGAGAACGAGAGATGTGAGTTCGAATCTCGGCGGGGGATGGGCGTTTTAGAAAGTGGCCGAGCTATAGGTGGATGTAGGCCGTAATACAGCTTGAATCGGTTACGTGTACGCAACAAAATATCATACTGCATCTTAAGTTACAAGGCAAAACGACTGAGCATCTTACTGAATGCAGCATGGCGTCACTGCCAAATTTGGCGACTCTATGGCAACGACAAACGCACCAAATCAACCAGACGAATCAGATAAAACTTTCTCCCCCTTTCCCTTACCCTGCAGAGTCTGGTGAAGCCCGTATCGTCCAGCTGCTGACAGGGCAGCAGTAGTGCCCCTCCTTCCCTCCCTTACCCTGTAGAGTCTGTGTGAAGCCCGTGTCGTCCAGCTGGCACAGCAGGGTCCCCCATCCCTCCCTTACCCTGTAGAGTCTGTGTGAAGCCCGTATCGTCCAGCTGACACAGCAGGAGTCGGTCAGGATCCAGACCCGTGTCGGCACCTATCACAGACTTGAAGTCCGCCACCGACGAGCCGCTCTCCACGCTGAAACCCATCCGCACCTGAGGGCGAAAACAAGGGTCGATGGAGGTTAGCGAGGGTCAACAGCCGGGTCAGGGAGTCAACAGAGGTCAGGGAGTGTCAAAAGGGGTCAGTGAGGGTCAACAGAGGTCAAAGGAGGTCAAGAGAGGACAGTGAGGGTCAACAGGGGTCAGGGAGTGTCAAAAAGGTCATGGAGGGTCAATAGGGTCAGTGAGCGTCAACAAAGGTCGGGGAGGGCCAACAGAAGTCACCAAAGGTCAGCTGAGGCAGCTAAAGGCCATTGACGGCAGTGTTAAACACCACTGAAGGTTATATTCATCAAAAAGATAAATGAGGCTCGTTGCAGTTTCCCAAAACCAATGCAGTTACCTGAAAGGGGCCTTATGTAACAGGGACGTATTATCCCTCTCCCCGCAGAATCATTTCTGTCACGCAAAACTGGAAACACCACATCAAAACAATATTTCCTTTGTAAATAAAATCTTTCCCTGGCAACAGACTGTCGTTCATAAATAATACATCACTACCATGAGCCCCCAGCCGGACATAGCACCACTGAGCGGCCCGATCCCGCCAGCAGCGGCAGCGTCCGAGCGGACCCAGCCCGTCCCGGCCGGGCGACAGCCGACAGTGACCCAATTGAATCCGGCGTTAGCACGCGGGGCGGACGGTGCATTATTCAAATGGCCGACCACTTTGGCGGCCGGACATAAGCCAGCGGCGGGGGCGGGGGCGGTGACATGAGGGCCGCGTTCAGCGAAACAATACCGGGCAGCTAATGTCGACTACCGGTGCCACCGACGCTTTCAGTCGCCATGGCAACAGAGCCTGAGTCAAGGAAGCCAACTTTGAAGGCACCATGGCGATTTCGTTTGGAAAATTACCGACAAGAATAGAATTCCCGTGATTGAAACTGTGTCAGCAACGAGCGATCAAAGGTAGCACGCTATACAATTTCACAACTTGAATCAATAATATAAAACCGAACGATACCACGATTGTATGTTGTGGGAAGGGATTCAAAGATAGCTAACAGGGAATGCAGTAGCCTCCGAGGAAGGCAGAAACTGTTGACAAACTACCGAAGACAACATACAGCAAATAGAGCTCAACGAAGTCTATGCAAAGTTGCATCAAGCCGATGCAAAGGCCGACCTTCACAAAGTTCCCCGCAAGGACAGCGCTTATCAGTCGCGCTTCACTTCAGCAGACAATAAGGAGCGTTCTGAACCGATCAACAGCGCCAATCAGACAATCAGCAGCCTGATAACGGCGGTACGGCGGTACGAACAACAACTCTGCCTGCGGCACCTGGCCGGTCAGAGTTGGGCTGATAAGCAGCTCAAGGACGCCATAGTCGGAACGGTATCGATCCGCGGTTAGAGAGTGCTAAATCAACTGACAGCAAAAGTGGTCGAGATCTGGGCGAAGTGATTACAACAGTAGCGGTCTCTAACGTATTGCTTTTCACGTGATAAGAACGGGTTTGAATGAGGGCAAACAAACACGCAGCGAGGCCTGAAGAAACGATTTAACATCGCTGGTGGCTTCGGTCGCATCGAAATCATGAGCTTGAAACATATGCGACTACGGAAGATGACACAAGCTTGTTTGTTTGTTTATTGGGGCTTTAGGGCGTGCCGACTGGAAGGTTCACACCTTCAGCGAGTGTATGCAATGCATATCACGTCTCAAGAGAACGCCAACAAAGACGATAACCACAAACTTGTGCCTATCAAAATACTGGGAAATAAGACCGAAAATGAGTATAAAAAAACGAAGCCAGCCGCCATATTTTATACCCATATTCTGCTAATTGAGTTCCCTGGACTACCTACGATCGCTGATTAGTTCGCATTTGCCCATCCCGGTTGCTGACCGGTCAAATTCTACCTACCTCGGCTGCTGATTGGTTCCTACTCACCCATTTAGGCCGCTGATTGGTACTAGCTCACAAATCACATTATTTGATTGGTCCTCGCTCACCTGTCGCGGCCGCTGATTGGTCCGCACTCACCTGTCGCGGCTGCTGATTGGCGTAGACGAGTGTGGCGATGAGCGGCCGGATCTGACGCTGCAGAATGGGCACGCTGACACAGAGGAAGGGGTCGAACGTGTTGCTCTCCTTGCGGCAGTTCGGACAGCGCAGCGATGACCTGCAGCCAAAGAATGACACGGGGACGGGTCAGGAGGCCGGTTGGATGAACGCAGATCTGTCGTAGTTTGTAAATAAAATGATAAGAGTGTATTCATGAACTAGATGGTGTGCAGAATGCACTGTGTAGTCTGAGCCTAGTGGCTACACACATGCCTCCTAGAATAAAATCCGGCGGAACTCATCGGCGAGTAAAAAGAAAAAAACAGAATGACAGCTGCACGCGCACATTTGTTCTGTAGCCTACCTAGCACTGATCTTCAACAGCTCGATACCAGCACTAGTCGTTTTACCCAATATTATTTAAGGGGTCAAAGCCGCATTTCCAGTTAGTTTTAACAGTCGATGCATCCAAGAAGAGCAAGCAGCTCAGAGAGCTGTAACTTATCGTTTCGTGACACAGCTGACCAGCTTGCCGTTTTGACGGTGGCCTCAAAATAGAAGCTCATCGAGGATAGGCTAACAAATTAAGTGCCGATCTTAAGGTTATGAAACTGTGCCTGGTTCGTTAGGTCACCGACAGAAGCTTTCTACTGCTGTCAATTTCAGACAACTTTCCGAGACATTTAAAACAAACTCAAAACTGTTCACTAACATCAAGCTCAATGTTGAAATATACCAAAAGTATATGAAGCAAATATCGCAAGACAGTTAACCCTCGCACGACCAGGCCATTTCTCATAACACGAACGACCAGGGGGGGGGGGGGTTGTTACGACCCCCCCCCTGGCGTTTCGAAACGGAAGGTCGTAGAGCTTAGCGGAAAAAAACCAACGGATTGCTCTCAACGAGATCTCGCGATTGGTGGTATATTTTTTGGTCCTAGGTCAACATTTGACCTACTTATGACTGGTCAAAGGTCAAATTTTCCGAAATAATCAAACTTTTTCAACTTTCCGCGGCGATTGTGGCAAAACGGTGGGAGATATCGACTTGAAACCTTCACTATCGTGTTCCTTGATCAATTCTCTATCGTTTGGTATGTATTTCGTTTCCCTAGCTCTAAAAATGGCGCGTTGGGAGCGCCGGAAGTCGGCAAGGTCACAGTCGGCGGCAGAAATTCGAAAAATCAAAATTTAAATTTTTGAAATCTGATTGTATTTTTGGATTTGGGAGGTCCATTTGCTCCCTATAGAAGCTAATATTGCTGCATATTCCCATTGAGGTGACAAGAATTAGCAAAATAGTGGTTCGGGCGCTTTTCAAAAATAGTACCGGACGCTGTTCCTCTTGTGACGTCATACCTCCGTGACCTGACCTGACCCGGTCAATTTTCTTGCACCACACGATAGCCAATGCTTGCCCCAACATGCATGGGAAGTTTCATCATGATCCATCAAACAATGTGGGTATCACCGGCAGAAAACCTACTATGGACGTCAAACCCCTTGAGACCCCACTTTTTTGCGATAATTTTTAAATGCGTCAACATTCGTTGACAATATTTTGGCAATGTGTGTTTCAGAACCTGCCGAAACTTTTATTACTAAGGTATTTTGACGCCAAACGATTATGGAAGGTACTTCTCATTCACTCGTAATGCTAAGGTCAATTCAGGCCCGGGCAGAGGCTTGCGCTCGGCCACACTCGAGCCTGGCCACCAGCGCCATCTGCTCTAAATGCCATCTACCAGCGCCCGCTACCGCTACCAGCTACCGCCCACCATCAAGCCTGAATGGAGGGAGAGACGCGAGTGACCGGTCGCCGGGCAAGGAGCGCCGGAGGGGTAGGGCGGAGCTTAGCGCTGACGTCATTACGTGGCTCCGCCCCATGAGCGCGTAGCCTCTACCCAAACAGCAGATTCGTTCCGTGAAATTTAACATTACGAGTGAATGAGAAGTACCTTTCATAATCGTTTGGCGTCAAAATACCTTAGTAATAAAAGTTTCGGCAGGTTCTGAAACACACATTGCCAGAACATTGTCAACGAGAGTTGACGCATTTAAAAAGTATCGCAAAAAAGTGGGGTCTCAAGGGGTTTGACGTCCATAGTAGGGATTCGGCGCACACGTTTGGTAACTGTCGGCCGGACGCTGTACCTCTTATGACGTCATAACTCCGTGACCTGACATGACCCGATCAATTTTTTTCGGCAAAAGATGCGCAAAGGTTGCCCCAGAGGGTATTGAAAATTTCAGCCCGCTACGACAAGCCGTTTAGCGTGCACTTCGAAAAAAACCTCAGGGGGGGGGGTTGATACACCCCCCCCCCCTAGGCGTTCTAGGGTTAAGAGCTCCCCATCTAATGCACCGTATCGACCGAGCCAAGAAACTTTCTCACACCCAACTGACTCCTGATCTCTGCCCCCTCGACATCCCCCCCCCCTACACCGAACACATCCAACTCGTAGTGCCCACGCTTCTGGGAACATTGTGCCGCCTCCACCGACGCTCCCAGTCCGTTGAAGGCGGACGGGGAGCGTTGGTCCACTGAGTTTCACAGCCCCGGAAACTCAACTTGGCAGGATGACGCGACGAAAGGTCACCCTACTGGAGCCAAATCCCTACCAGTCCCTCCCCACACACAGTTCCACCGGCGCTCCTGTCTAGACCTCAGCGCCGGAAACTCAACTCGGCAGGATGACGAGGCGAAAGGTCACTCTACCAGAGAAAAAAAATCCCTATAGCCCCCTGCCACACTCCCCACCCGCGGGTCCGCTGCACGCTAGCTGATGTGATCGACCACCGTGTGGGGAAGGGGAGGGGAGGGAGGGAGGGGGGAGCAGACCGAGCCCTGTTGCACGCGGGGAGTCCCACTGAGTGCTGCTGACCGCACGCGGGGAGTCCCACTGAGTGCTGCTGACCGCTGCCAGATGGGGAGTTTCGATATCTGGCCGGCGGTACCGCGACAGGCCGTGGGGGCACTGCACGGGAGAGACCGACTGCACCGGCGATAAAGTCACTGGGATGTGTTACTGGTAAAGAGGATTTATTGGGCTCAGCGGATAAAATGAAAATAAAAAGAGGAATCAGACATCCAAATAGTTTTATCCTGAGACCGGTAGCTGATTTGTTACATTGGTTTATTTGAGAAAAAGTAAAACAATGCTCATAAAGCACTTCCACAGGGATGGAAGACAACCAAATGAAAAGACTTGATAGCATCACCACTTGCTGTTATCAGCAAACACATAACTTTATCTTTGGCATGCATTGCTTAAATTGTGGTGTCTCTAGCATTAGAATATGGCACATAATTTTCACACACCTGTCAGTATCTCAATAAAAAAACTAGCATGGAAGCATGGAAGAGTTCTTATTTTCTCAGGATAATGTTATTTCTAGAAGTTAGTTTCAGTAAAGCTGACATTTACAATTTGATCAAGAAATAGGATTACTTTCACAACTACATTTATTCTCCATTCAAATAGCAATATTCCTCTAACAAAACAAATCAAATTGCATCACGTACCTGAACTGGGCCTGGAAGATGTCTTGGACAAAGCTGGCATTGCATCTGAGGTGATTTGCCAGGGTTTCTGCTGCCACGACCTCATCTGGCCTTCCGAGGGAGCCCTGCAGTGAGAAGGCCAACCATCAGTGATCAGAATCACATTCTAATAGGGTGTTTAAAAAATATGAGCATATAGCTTGTTCAACATCATCAGTTGATTACTTTCTACTTATTTTGCTGAATTATCAAACCATAGGTAGGTATCTAATAAGAAAAGTTCCTCATGGAATAATAAGTAGAAAATAAAATGAATGACCAAGGTGTAAAGCATGGGCTGCATTTACCTTTATTTTTCTGTACTTTTTCTTGGTTGCTGTGTTGAGGTCCTCATGGACCTTGTCCAGCAGCCACATGAGGAACTCCTGGGCATCATGCTGCTCATTTCCTCTGAAGTGGCTGCCGTACTTCTCCACATACACTTTGAACTGTGACGAAACCTCAGAGTTGTACTGCCTAGACCATATGGATTTCAAGGTCACAGCAAGCTGCTCAGTCACCTCCCCCTTGGTGCCAAACTTCTTGGCGTTGGCGCGGGTCCGTCTGCAGAGGTCTGCTCGATACTGGCCAGTCACAAAGTACTCAGCTAGGACATCAGTGTTGCTAAGACACTGCAATACTGCGTTGATGAAGCATGTATTTCCATGATTGCTCAAGCCAACCACTCCAGGGACTTCATCAGTGCCGTATTGAATGTAGTCACATGCTTCATCCACTCTTGAGCCATCATACTTTCTTGAATGCTTGTCCCTGGGTAGAGTAGTAACAGTCCTCACCATTCGGTCGATAAAGTTGCTGAAACCCCTCATCGAAGGTCTTCTGCGGAGCTTGGGAAGGTCTGAGTTCAGATCAGTGTTACCTTCCATTTTGGCAAGCGTGGCACTCTTCTGACTGTCTCTAGCATTCATTCGGTTCAGCACATCGCTCATGTTGTACCTGGGCAATGTGAACGTCTGGTGTGGAGAAAGGACCCCTTCTGGAGCATCCACACAAGCCTCTGTCATGTTATAAGATAGGTCGACAATTATAGCGCACCATTAAACTGGCAAAAAATGATCGATAAGTTTCTTCGACTGAAAATGACTAAGCCGTAAATCACACTCCCGTGCAACTGAACACTTATATAAAAATATATCGCATTTATAAACGGCACTTAGCCGTAATTTCCAGCCACGCCCATTCCTCACACAGCCCGCACCGCAACCACACAAACACACAAACGCGCAAAGGACGTGTCTAAATGTTTACGCATGTACCTAGCCAGTGTCTTGTGACGTCATAAATTCAGACCAATCACTTGAGAGAATGTTTTTAGAGATGCAAATTTTTCTTTTCCTTTTAGGTTGATCACTCATTACTCATTAGCAAGTCTAGGATTACTAATGCAGTAAGGTAAGGAAATATTAAGTACTTCAAATAACCCGGCCGGGCCCGGGGGTAATCCCAACCACCGCAGCCCGGGGGGCGTTAATTTCGCCCCCCCCCCCCTGTCTAACTCCGTAAATAAGGGAGCTTCGGAAACAAAAGCGATACCAAACGAAAGGTCCTTACGAGACGATTCTAAAGCACCTAAAAATTTTTACCTCAGGTCAATTTTCAATGTCAGAGGTCAAGGTCAAAGGCAAAAGCCGGCACATGTGTAGTGTAATGATCTCAAAGTACCTAAGCGTTCTAGAGGACGGCAGGATGCATAAAACCGGCAAAATTGCTGGTGTCAAACGAAAGAAGAGAATCTGAGAATTCCGAAAATGTGCTCAATACCAAAGGTCGAGGTCAAGGTCATTCTCAAGATTGACCTCAAACTTTGCACTTTTTCGTACATCCTGCGTGCTTTTGAAATGTTTTGACGCTTATCAGGTCCGTCCCTATTTGTGGTTCACCTTACGAGGCTACTCAAAGGTCAAGGTCACAGAAGAGTGTCCTTGCTAGCAGTAGCGGCGGAACACCTTCAATTAAGGGGGGAGGGCACTGCCGACTTTTGGTCCCATTCTTTCCATGCAACGCCCATAGGGCTGATGTTAAAATGCCAAAATCAGAGGGGGGCACGGCCTGCCCCAGTGCCCTCCCCGTTCCGCCGCCTAAGCTTGCTAGAGGCTACTTCACTGATAAGTAGGTAATAATAATTAGTAATAATAAATAAGACAATTTTGCCATCCGGAGGCTCTAAATGAAGGATTAGAGGAAAATAGATGCCAGATTCGTGATCAGCGGGTACAAATCCATCATAAGCGACCTTTAATGTGTCAAGGTCAAAGGTCATTCGAGGTCACATGAGGTCAACATAAAACTTGACCTTTTCCAAACAAAATATATAATATATATCATTCGACCCGGCTTGACAAGGCAAATGCGATGGTACCACTGCCGTAGCTTTACGGCTATTTTAGTCGAAGTTATTTGCGAAAAACTAAAACCACATTTCGGGGTCGTTGACCTTACCTCTGACCTCAGGTCACCGAAAATATTTTCCTATTTTTTCTAGGTCAAACACTACACAACCGTGCTCGTAATCTGTTTTTATCTCTAAAACTCTATTTTTAGCAGCTATTTGAAGTTTGCGTCTGTGACGCCGAAGTTTGCCGTGCAAGGGTCTAGCAAAATCGACCCTGTGACGTCATCAAGGGGGCTAGGTTAAATTTTTTCACTTCAGATGATGTCAAATTGATGGAAGAAAAGGTACTGAAAGTTTCGATTTCCTATCCCTAAGCGTTCGGGAGCTATCGCAAATATTCGCCGGGGGGGGGGGGGAAACGCCCCCCGGGCCCGCGAGGGATAAGCAAGCAATATTGAAACGCTCGGTATTTTCAATTGAGTAGATTTTACAAAGCTTTTCAACATTGCACGCTAAAATTATTTTAGCACAGGGCCTCGGATAACGAATTCTCACTGGGTGGGCAAATGTCAAAAGTTTGCCCGTAGATCAAATTATGCGTTTTCGGTGCATTTTAGTTACCAGTGTGTGTTCCTAAAGAGTAGGGATATTATCTACATATCATGAAGTTTTTGTAGTATCGCGGTGGGTCACAAAATAACAGAGTTCAGTATAGGTAGTGGTACCTACACACCTACTGCGCCGTCAATAAGTAATAGGTATAGGTATTTTCTTGAATGCTGAATACGAGACATGCCGTTCACATAGCGGTTCACTCTCGACTTTAGCTGTAACTGGCCGAGACTGACCGAGACTAACCGAGAGAGCGTGTGACTGTGTGAGACTACCTGTCCGACGTCGCGTCGGTCGGGCCGGCGCAGTCTTCGACTTAACCCGCGCCTCGCTGGGGGGGGGGGGGCAGAATCTGCCCCCTCCCGTTTTTCGCCAATAACTTCCAAACGTGTTACGCCAGCGACGTTAAACTTTCAGTACGCTATCATAAGTCAATTTAACACGTTTGCTGAACATTAGAGCGAAACCCGTCAGAATTTTTTTTAGAAAATGACGTTTAAATGACGTCATGTCACGCCATTTTTGCCTCAAAAACGGCAAAACTTAAAACGCCGCTAACTAACATCTTCATTTTTAAAGGAATCAAGACGTAACAAAAAAAAAAAACGTTATACGTGATTCTGCTTTGTCTATCAAATGGCTGTCTCAGTTTTTTGAAATTTTGGATTTTGGCCCAATTTTTTCATAAAAAAACTGACTTTTGGGAAAATAATGGTAAAATCCAAAGTTTTGAGTGTAACGAAAAAAACGGAAAATATGTCAGAGAAGTGGTCTATGTGCACCTACATAACAATTTTTAGAAGAATCAGTTCAAAAATGTGGGAGTTATTCAACATTTTATGATGTCACGACACACAACATTTTTGATTTTTTTTAAGTTCTAGACCTCGTACAGAATCAAAAATACACCATTCGATTCGCCGTGAAAAACTGCATCAGCTACACACCTTTTTAGGTCTTAAAAAACAACTTCAAATCTTGACCTCACTTGACCTGACCTTGACCTGACCTCTCGACCTGAAATTCATCCAAATGTGGTCCATATCACTTATTGAGTGTGCCTATCGAATTCTATGAATAAAATGTCCCATAAAACATGTCTCGCACATGTCGTTTTCTATATTTCGTTTTTGGTGACCTGATCTGACCTTGACCTTGACCTTTGCATGTTATTGTATGCAACGAATATTGTCTTCAGTGAACACGTTTTGGGCAATCAGTCTCAGTCCATTCTTTGGCAACTACGGTGCAAAGCCGATACTGTAGAAACTTGCATTTTGTACCCTTGACCTGACCTTGAACTGACCTCTGACCTACTTAAGCAAAACAAAATTGGCTCTTAAGATTCGCCTTGTTGAAAACTTTCGATTGCCGTTTTCCCCGTCTTTCTACGACCATCGGTTCGGAAGTTAGATGGGGGGGCAGAATCTGCCCTCTGCCCCCCCCCGCCCCCCCCCCCCCCAGCAGGGCGCGTATGGCTGAATCAGGGGGATGTCACTACTTTGCTTCGCCATAGGTCCAGTACTGATGTCGTCGGTTTCGATCCCGGTGACGTCAGTGCTGTCTACATCCGGGAACTTATTGCACTTGGTTCTCATTAGAGGTGGCCATATTGTTTTGTCTCGTGACGACACATTTGCGTCATCGGGATCGAAGCTGGCTGTAAACAAATCGCTCAGTGTCGCTACCTACTATATATGGCCTTGGGCTGAATAGCCCAGCGGGGCGCGGGATATATTTAACAATATTTCTCTCACGGCTTTTTGTACGAATTTTCTTCAAACCATAAAAGTCCACTGTCCAGTGCTCAAAACACGTGGCGAAATGATTCAGGGGCTTCAGCTCCGTTCTTTCTTAGGTTTGCCAGACACTAATGACAATAGTTGTCGGACTTTCGTCCCCGTCTTGAGTTGAGATGTAAGCCGTTTCACAACGTTTCGGCCAGTTACTTCTCCGGCCGTCGTCAGGTGTTCTTTGTTCCTTACATAGATGATAGAAAGACCCTGGGTGTTGGTGGCGTTGCGCCGTACGCGTCATACCTTATCGAAAGCTCCTGTGGTCAGCGGGAAATGATCTCGGGCATGCCCCGGTGATAGGCGACAGTTGTAACACATCTGTTGTGCTCAGGTCGACTGAACGGATCGACTGACATGCAGCATGACCTTTTCCGGTCAGGTCATGACCTTGACCTGAGGTCAAATTTCAAATTGACCTTTCAAGGTCAATTTATAGCTGATTCGACGCGTCTTGATAAGAAGAACACGATCGCTGGCAAAATAAGCCCACCCAGTTAACATGTTATCCGAGGCCCTGTTTTAGCATTCAAATGTCCAAAAGCTTTGTAAAATTGCCTTAGGACCGACCGTTTCAATATTGCTTGCTTATTTTAAGTATTTATTGGTAACTTACTAATTATAGGGTGTTCACTAAAAATTGACACAAACTTTGAATGACTGCACATCAAAAGTGAAGCAAGCTATTACGATGCAACTTAGCATGGAGATAAAAGGGACATTTTTGTATCATACCGAACATAAAATTTCATGGGTGTAATGAAAACAGTCGCGTTGGAGGTCGTTTTAAATAAGGCCCACCGAAAGCCAATTGGCACGCTTTCCCAAAATAGTACGTCAATGGGAGAGTCTGGCACGTACAAATACCTAATGAAAGCTTAAAATGTCGAAATTAGTTACATACCGTATGGTGGGACGAAAGTTCTAGTGGGTATGGGAGTCAGAAAATCTGAAGTGGTGCAAATGTGAAGATACTGACGAAAGGAAAGGTCGGGGCCCGAAAATGCACGTGGAGGGGCTTTTTGGCACCTCACGATGCAATGCTGCCGATCAGTAAGGTATTAACTGTGCCTAAGCGAAGAACATATATCACACCTGAGGCTAGGAATGAGTTACAACCGGCGTAAATGATTTCTCGAAGCGACTGGGAACAACATAAGGCAAGAGAAGTAAATAAACAAAGGTCAAGAAAGCGCCACTAATTGCAGAAAACGACCGATCTATTTAAGGAAGAAAAATCATGTTTTTGTCAAAGGGCGACAATTTACTAGACAATGGAGTGTTCTGTAGTGATGTTATCAATGATACAAGAGATAACGTCCATTTAGCATCCTAGCTAACGCTGGATGCCGTGGTACGTGTGTTATTTCAGAGCATATCATCAGTTCGACTTTATTCCTCCAGGCCGGTCCTTTACAATATGATACTTTCTGAGTCAAGTGTATTATTTAGCACTAGAGGCTCATGCAGAACAACATATGTAACCAGAAGGTGATCTTCTGGTCCGACCTCGCGCCAGCACACTAATCAAGGGGCGCCTTGGGGGCTCCGGCCGATGTAAAAATTGCATGATTGAAACAAGGCCCGATAAGCCATTTGCCACGACTGAAATTAACAAATGAGTATCTAATGTGATTTGCCGAAGGCTATTACGCAATACGTATATTGGTGTCTTTAAATTTGATACAAAATATCAACTGGCTGCTCATTACCGCCATGAATTGGCCAAATTCACGGTCCACTGGTGCCAGACCTTGTGAAAACACTTACAAGAAAATGTCCAAAAAATGACCTACGGGAATCAGGCAAATCTGTTGACGCTCAACGGTTTGCAGCAGATGCAATATGCATTACAACAATGCCTCGTTTGTTTAAATCGGTACATTTTTACCGAAGATACAGCCTGCTAAACTTTGTCTCAATTTTTAGTGAACACCCTGTAGTCGTCATAGGCATTATTATCTGCAACTTGTTAGTAATTACCATCTAAGAACACCTTCATTGATCACTTCAGGCGAAATTCAGCTGGTCATCATCGGGCGGAATCAAACACGCAAGAATGTCGACGGTTTCATATATTCCCATTTCCCAAGCACACATTTCCATCGCAAAGCGAACACGGTCAACTACATATGAAGTACCATTCGTTCTGATCGAAAAACATCGACGCCATCAGGCTGCAAGAAGCTCGTCATTTGATCACTGTAGTCACACGATGAAAATATGACAACGCTACGCGCAGTAAAAAATAGCACAGCTGACGAATTCCTTTGACTGTTAACCCGCGCCCCGGTGGGGGGAGGGGGCTATTTTTAGTCCCCCCCACCTCCAGACTTTCCAATATATCTCCAGAGCCGCTGCGCCGATCGTCACCAAACTTTCAGTATCCTCCCGGAGATCAATTTAACATATTGTGACCGAAAAAAATTCCAAAGGCTATGACAGGTTGGCCAGGTCAACGAAATTGAATTACCTTCGACAAATATGAAAGGGCTTTCGAACGCCGTTTGAATTTTGTGGATCCCTCCAGTAGTTTCGGAGATAGGGGGGGAGCAAAAATAGCCCCCCCCACCCACCAGGTTGCGTTATAAACAGACCTCACCAGGGCGCGGGTTAAGTGTTAGCCTGCTCACCTGTTATCACTAAAACATCGCCTTGCGAATACCGTTGTGGAAAACGACTTCATCTGTATTTCTATCGGCGGTCAATCTTCCCCCAGCAAAGCGTTTCAGCGTTTCTCATAACACCTACTCTATTAGGCTCCTAGTTCTTTCAAGTTATGCAAACCTATACCCTTTCATATGACCTCGTCTTTCTCTATCTAACTCTTTCCTGATTTCAAGACTTCATCTGTCACATCTTCGTCTTACAGCCCGACGGATGCCAAAAACCCGGCGGCGTCCAGCGTGTTGCTCTCCACGGCCTCAGCCTTCCCCTCCTCCTCATCGTCTGCCTCCTCCCCGGCTGGCTGCAGCAGTTCCTCCCTCCACGGCTCGAGGCTGACCTCGGGCAGCTGGCCGCAGGCGGTCAGCCGGTTCTCGTCGGTCGCAGCGCGGAAGGAGTCCGGCTGGATGACGCTGATGCCGGAGACGGTGTCACAGAGGACGCGGGACCAGCTGGAGTGGTGCAGCTCCGACAGCTGCGCCAGGCTGAACCGCCATGGACGAGACTCGCCGCCCAGGTCGTAGAAGAAGTTGTCGCCCCAGCGCAGCCGGAAGAACTGGTTCCCGATCAGACACTGCGGAGAGGAAAATTCGAAATTGACGTCATGAAAGAAAGAAACAGATGACAATGATTATAGTAGAGTAGGGAGTAATTTGTTCAGATATCATTACTTTTTATCCTACCGCCATACCACAAACAGCTAAAAACCTGCAAATAGGTATGGGATGATGATGAAAGACATCGGTTGGCTGTCCACCCATTGAAAAGATGACTGAACACATTACACACTGAACAGTGAAGACATTAAAAATGGCGACACGTCAAAACAAAAGTGATGAGCACCCATGACTCAATTCCTGCCTACCTGAAAGGTGGGTCCGACCAGTCCTCCATCCACCGGAAACTCCGCCACTCCGCCGATATACAGGTCAATATCGTCCACAGAGCGATACACCCCGGCCAGGCGCACCACCGCCTCGGGGCTCATGACCCGGGTCAGGGCGGTGAACGAGGGTAGGTGGGGCAGGCCGCACCAGCGACGGGCGGTCGAGTAGGTGGGCGTGCCGTGGTCCCTGCCGCGCTGGATGTTCATGGCCACCAGGTCCATCCCACACAGCTCGCCTCTCTCCTGTGGACGGAGAGGATGGGGAATGAGTGGAAGATGAGGAAGTGAAGGTTGTGATGTGCATGAGTAATGAAGAATGTCTGATGGTCTTGGAAAAGACGTTGGAATTCGGAGTAAAACGTATCCCCGCTCTTATTCATGTGGTCGGAGGAGATGAAGGTTGTAGTGCGTGTGTTCGAGGTAGGTTTGTCTTATATGATAATGGAAATGGCGCCAGAATTCGGAGTAAGACGTTTTCTTGATTTTTGTTGGGAGGGGGGTGAGACTTGTCGAGGAGGACAATGGGGAAGAAGATGAAGGAAACTGGAAAGCCTTCCCGAGTGCTATAGAAGTCTTGCTGTTCGCTTAGCTACTTGTATTTAGACACGGTTTGATAACAGAGGCACTCAATGATATCATCTTATCGCTCTCAAATTTTACAGATGATTGACCCTGGTCAACAAACTTCCCAGCGCACCAGACCGCCTCCATGCTCACCTGAAACAGATGCCCGGTGAGAGCGCTGGCGAAGGCGAGGTCGCACTTTTGCGGCGCCTGCGCCACCAGGCTCTTGGCGAGGAAGTCGAGGGCGCCCTGGTAGATGAGGTGCGGCGTCAGGAAGATGTCCCGCAGGCGCGTGAAGCCGAAGGGCGGCTTGCGGAGGTCGGAGAAAAGGAAGACGTGGTTGTTGATGAGCGAGTGGCCGAAGCGGAAGGCGGCCGAAGAGAACTCGGTGGCGATTGTTGGCTCCGTCTCGGCGTTATATCTGAGGGAGAGAGAGAGTGAAAGAGAGACAGAGGAGAAGATAAAAGAAAGACGAAAGGATAAGAATAGATATGAGCGATGAGGAAAGTTCTTTGAGCCAAACATGATTGCATAATCATATTATAAGGTTAAAGATATTCCGCCTAGAACGTGATATTTACCGCTAGGCGATTTGTTATCAATCGTAACTTTTGGAAGGGGTTGAAATGTCCGTCTACACCGCACCGAAGCTTCCTCTGCCCGCCTGCAAGCTGACCTGTTGGAGTAGCTGGTCGGCCCCTTCTGTTCCCCCATCATGTTGGTATCGGTGTAGTTGTGACCGAGCACGATCGGCAGCCAATGCGAGTACGTGATGTGCTGGATCTCGGCTATCACAATACGACGGCTTTCCTGTAGAACGGGCATGAACGGGCTGTGACGCCATCTCAATACTTTACATAGAACCTAGGTACATTGTTCCTTACTTCGGTGTTTTCACAAAGAATAGGGGACAGACAGAATACAATATCCGATTGCCGAATGCATTTGGCCACTCAAATACATACCATCACCTCAGACCCGCTTCACAATCATTGACCGCAGCACGCTATGACGCCCCTTCTCCAAGAGATGGGGCTAACTCACCTGGAATAGTCTCTCGTCGTCCCAGTGCGGGTTCATCTCCTGTAGCCTCCCGGCGATCCGATTGTGCTCCCTCATCCAGATGATGTGCATCACCGCCAATCGGGCCTGATACAAAGAATATCAACATCATCATCTACCACACCGCCACATCACCGCCAGACGAGCCAACTTTAGAAAACATCACATCATCACATCATCGTTCACTAGGTACATTACCAGATACCACACTCAAAACTTTTTTACTACCTACTGGAGAGTTCATTTTCATCAAACCCGCAAGATAATAGTATATTGAAAGGGTAACTCGCTGCTACCATTATGTGCATAGTAACGGTACGTGGTTAATATGAACTTTTTCGCCAGTGAAGAGTATTATTACCATGTAAATATCAATATTACTCTCGCGATCCAGAACATCACGAAAACTCTTTCCTCCTGGGTATCGTGACTCGGGTACAGATAGTCGTTTCATGCGTGGATCTTGTTTACCCTCGTGAAGATGATATTTGAAATGGAAACAATCAGCCAATCAGAAACGAGATCGGCCGTTTGCGGTTTGAAGGCCGCGCGCATCTGTCAGTTTTCGGCCGTTGGTCTCCGAGAGCGGATGTGAGCAGTGTCGGTGCCGCGCGGCGTGGCCGTTGGTGATTGTGCTTGTGTGTTGTTCATCGCCTATAGAGCCTCTGTGGACATTTTATTGTAAGTACCGATGTGCTAGAGCATTGCGTGCCGTTGAGTGGTGCTAATTTGACCTGGTTATGAGTGGTTAACAGGACCCCGTGCACGGCCACGTGGCCTAGTGTTGTGAGTACGTACATTAACCCTATTCCTGGCGGGCTCCGCCGGGACAAGAAACTGGCGGGGGGGGCCGATTCGGCCCCCCCCTGAGATCTCGAGAACGAAGCAAGATAGCGACAAGCGGTAAACGGCATCGGATACGCACGGCCAAGATCTACAATTTTTACTAAGGTCATTTTCAGGTCAGGTCAAAGATGACGTCACAGGAGTCGAAAAAGTCAAAATGGCGGCGCTAGCTATGGAGATAGTTTTTCTCGAATAACTTTCGAATTAGTCAAGATAGGAACAAACTAAGGGCATCATCGTGATCTTCTCGTCAATCCGCATCGAAAGATATATATGTTGACCTCGAAAGGTCAAGGTCAAAGGTTGACCTCAGGTCACGTGACCTCGAGGTCATCATGTATATCATTCGATGCGTCTTGACGAGCTGAACACAATGAGACCATCCACGCGTCTGTATCTTGTTCCTGTACGGAGTTATTGGCCAAAAACCTTTGGTGACCTTTGATGACGTCACATGACCTCACAGCTGCCCAACAGCACAACAGACCTCAAGGTAGTGAAGGTTGATCGTATATGAAGTCATGTATGGTATATGGGGCCATTCCGACCCGTTTTAGTGGTAAAAACAGGGAGTTGATTTTTCCCCCATTGACTTATAATGGGGAGGTCGCGAAATTGACCTGACCTTAGGTCACCGATATCAAAATTCCGAGATATACAAATTGCACATACTGGTACCCTAACTAAACCCTGAAGAGAAGAAATTGATCGGTCAAAAACTCTAGCTCTGGCGTGATTGCAAACTTTTCTGAGGTAGGGTCACCAAACCGCCTCTGGTGACCTGACCTGAGGTCAGATCAACTCAAAATTTTCAGACATGTTGCGTAGAAGCCTTTTAGGAAAAGTCAGAAAATTTGAGCTTCCTAGCTCAACGCGTTTGGGAGAAATAACCAAAAAACCTCAGGGGGGGGGGGGGGCTCCTGAGGCCCCCCCCCCCCGCCAGGAATAGGGTTAATTTTGTTGTGATGCTACAAGTTTATGCATTTTGTTGGTGACTTTGAAAAAGCCTTGCACTGTAGTGATCCAGTCTCATTATCTCACGCAGACGGGCGACCACCCAGGAACGCCGTCGCTCACTTCAAATATTGTGCGCTCTGCCTAATCCAATATGAGGGCGCTGAATGTCTTGTATTCATATTCAAATTGCAATCAAGTTGTATCGTGGTGTTTATTTACCGCTTGTGCATTGCTGAACGCTTTGTATAAATTTGTATGAATAAGTGAAGAGTCTCACAATGTTCATGGTTGGTGTGCCCCTCGTATTGTTTGTACGGAAGCCAAATATACCTACATTGTTGCTCTTGAAACATTTTTTTTTTTAGTTGGTGAGCTCCGGTTAACAGAAGCTTCGTGAAGCTTCTGAAGGAAGCGTTTGTGGGTCTGTTACCATCCTCTGGGGGGTTTACACTAGAGGAAAGAGTAAACATTACCATGTGACAAAGGGTAGGCCATAAGAATATACTCTGTAGGAGGGTAAAGCACAGAGTAGATGATGCGTTACTCCCTAAAAAAGGGTTCCGTTAAAGATTTACCCTTTCAAAGAGTGTAACCCAAAAAATATTACACTCTAGACAAGAGTAAATCAAAAGAGTTTACCATACAGAAGATGGTAAAAAACGTCTGTGTGTCATGTTACCCCTCCCTGGCGAGTTTACTCTTCATGAAAGAGTAAAATTTACCAACTGGAAGGTGGTAAAAAACGTCTGTGTGTCAAGCTACCATGCTATGGCGGGTTTACCCTTCAGAAAATGGTAAAAAAGTTTTCAGTGCAGATACGTCACCGCTAACAGGGAGGGGCTTCATCACATCTCTCTCTCTCTCTCTCTCTCTCTCTCTCTCTCTCTCTCTCTCTCTCTCTCTCTCTCTCTCTCTCTCTCTCTCTCTCTCTCGCTCTCTCTCTCTCTCATCCTCTCTCTCTCTCTCTCTCTCTCTCTCTCTCTCTCTCTCTCTCTCTCTCTCTCTCTCTCTCTCCTCTCCCTCTAACCCCACCTGCACATTAACTCGCGGATCTCCGGAGCGGAAGCACGGCTCTTCTTTCACCGTGCTGTGACACTCCAGCTCCGGCTCCGGATCGGGCAGCAGGAACTTCGTCGGGCCCACGCGCAGCCTTCCTCCGCTGTGCTCCCTCAGCGAGGCCGTCCAGCGCTCCGACACGCCGTACAGCATGTCGGCGTCGATATAGCTGGTGCGGCTGTTCACCTGGGTCAGCACCTTCTGCCGCTCGTGCCAGGCGGGCACGGAGCGCACGAACTCGATACACGTCTTGCCGCAGGGGCCGTACACGGGATCGGTGGTACGGGCCGTGATGGGCAGGCAGAAGGCGTGGGCGTCCGGCGCGCGGCGTCCCAGCCGGCAGCAGGGGGTGTCTGGTTTGACCTCGGGGGAGAGCGCCAGGTCGTGGTCGATGAACTGCCCCCACTGCATCACGGAGTCGGTGAGGTGCGGCAGCGGGATGTCGTGGCTCGAGGTGACGGCCACGCTGATCTGACGAGCCCCTGGCAGCCGCCGGCCGGCGGAGTCGAGGAACCGCGGCAGGAAGATGCCGTCCTGGTAGGCGGGCGGCAGCACCAGACGAGTGTTCCCCTGGTGGAGGAGAGGCGGATGGGGTTAGTGGTCGAGGTGGAGTTCGCAAGAATGGAAGTAAGGTAGTGGGCAGTGGCCTTACCGCAATCTTTGCATGAGCAATGAGCTAAGCATCAAAGGAGCGGTAAATAATTCAGACTTTGCCTCTCGGTCCGTAATAAAGACGCAAAAGATATTCACTATTAAATGTTGTACTCTCATATACTAAATCAAGCATAACCTAACTCTCAAATCCTTCAGAGCTGCTATTCATAAAGCTTGAAGTCCAAAAGTTTAGAACCAACGCCAAGAGAAGGGAGGGGATTTGGTGATTCATTGTAGTTATAAATGGACAAGTATTGTATCGTGAGTACATGAACCTCCAGTTTATAAAATGGGCGAAATCTGCAGCACAATTGAGCATCATTGATCTAGATAAAAATTAAGAATGAGAGTGAGAGTGAGAGAGAAAGAGAGGGAGGTGGGAAAAGAACAGAGAGGGAGAGATAGAGAGAGGGGGAGGGAGAGAGAGAGTGAGAGAGAGAGAGAGAGAGAGAGAGAGAGAGAGAGAGAGAGAGAGAGAGAGAGAGAGAGAGAGAGAGAGAGAGAGAGAGAGAGAGAGAGAGAAAGAGTGAGAGAAGTGAAAACATATTATATGCACCGTCAATTGATATAATACTATTTAGCTATTGTAATATCATGTTGCGAATAGATTGTTACATGTTCACGAAAATATGTATGATTTCGTTTTATTTAGGAGGTACCCGACTACTCTGACCTTGTTCTCAGAAATACGTGCTATTTATTTCAAACGATTGATGTTGTGCTCGTTTTCTTGTTCCTTGTTTCATATGGCGCTGAAGAAGCATGGGCGTAACCACCGCGCTGGAACGCTGGAAATTCCAGCCCATTTTTGGGATGCTGAAATGCCGCCCCCGGTAGAGGAAAACTGCAATTGCGGGACTCGCGGACTTTAAAACCAAGAAAAAAGAAACGGCACTGCTCGGTCCACTATACGCCTGACGTCAACGTGCCGCTCCTCACTAAAATAACTACATAGGTGCCCTCTACATGCCGCCCCTCCCAGATGTCCTTCCGCCCCTCCGCACCGACTCCCCCTCAAGTTCCTCGGAGCTCTCATGTGCCGCCCCTCACAGAACCCCGCCGCACTCAATGTGTCGCCCCTCCGCATATAGCTCTATCGCCGTCTGTGCCGCCCTCCCCATGCAGAGTACCTCGGCGCTCTCTATGTGCTGCCCTCGCCACAACTTCCCGCCGCCCTCAATAAGCCGCCCTATGCTCTATCGCCATATGTGCGCCCCCCCCCCCCCCGCCTCTATGTGGCGCCCCTCACCACAAACCCCGCCGCCCCCAATGTGCCGCCCCTCCCCACAACGCTTTACCACCGTCTGTGCCGCCCTCCATAAACGCCTTGCCGCCCTCCCCAGAGTATCTTGGCGCCCACTATGTGCCGCCCCTCGCCACAACACCCCGCCGCCCTCAACAAGCCGCCACTCCCCACAATGCTCTATCGCAGTCGGCGCCACCCTCCCAAGGCACCTTGCCGCCGCTACGTGCCGCCCCTCCCCAGACGCCTTTCTGCCCTTACGCGTCTCCCCTTCCCAGAATGCGTCAAAAGGTTTAACGATTCGCCCCTCCCTATAACGCTCCATCGACGTCTGTGCTGCTCTCGTCAGGCGCTGTGCCACCTCTCCCCGGAATGCTAGCCCTCGCTGGCCCGGGGGGGGGAGCGTTTTTTGCCCCTAACCCTGGCGAATATTTGCGATAGCTCAGTCAGGGGTGCTTAAATTGATGCTGTTTACATATAATAACTACGCATTGACTTGGCGAATTGTGCTGAAACGTCTCCGATAGGTGAACATCGTGCGGACCGGGGGATTCACAACTCCATGCCTAGGTATCACAGTTTGGTTGCTACTCTTAACGTGCGCAAATGAAGGTCGTGCGCACGTTTTGGCGGGCTCTGTATGCTGCCCAACACAAAGTGTTACATTTTGGGCTCGATAAGTCTAAGGGATTCGCCTATGCGAATTCAGCCCATGAGAGCGTCAGGTGAGACGCTCTGATCGCAAACAACCATCGAAGTCGCGAAAAGGCCATGTATGATTGCTTGATGTAAACATTCCGAGCCAACGAGTAGTGCCCTGAGCGCGCAGCAAGACTCAAGAGTAAAGCTGAGCACTTGAAAGAGTCCTCGGTCTACTGTGGGGCCCTTGAGTGGGTGAGGTCCTTGGCTGGATCCCGTCCTGCAGGCTCACGCCTGGAATGGGTCCTCTTTAGGCAGGCTCGAAAGCTTAGGGGCCATTAGAGGCCGGTGTGGGGCTCTGAGAGTTAAGCGTGGCTGCTTAAAAGTTGCGTACTGCTTTCAGAAGGCCTGTGCGTTGGGCACCCAAAGACCAGCGTGGTGTCTTAAAATGCCAGTGTTACGCCCTCAGAGATGCACTGGTCAAGCCCTTTGAGGTTCTCAGAGGCGTCGGCGTGGTGCTCTCACAGGCGGGTGTGTGATCCGTTGAGGTTTTGGCGTGATACCCTCAGAGGCCGGCGTCGCGTGGTGCTCTTAGAAGCTGGTGGGGGCTTCCAGAGTCTTCAGTGTAGGACCCTCAGAGTCACCGGTGAGGACTCTCAGCATCACCGGTGAGTGGCCGGGCCGTGGGCACTGGGCAATGAGCCGGTATGGGACCCTCAGAGGAAGGCACCGGTGTGAGACTCAAGAGAGGTCAGTGTGAAGCCTTTACAGTTGCCCGTGTGGGGCAGTGAGTGCACTGGCGTGGTGCCTTCCGAAGGCCGGTATGGGATTGAAGCTTAGCGAGGTGATAAAGGACTTAACCCTCGCCCGTATTGGTGTTTTTCCAGCCACGAACGTATAAGGGGGGGGGGGGGGGTCCGTTGGCCCCCCTTGCCGTTTCGCCCCTGATCGACCTAGAGCTTTGCGGAAAAAACGAGCGTGTTGCCCGTGACGAGAGGAAGCCGATGATACCCAATTTTAAGGTCCTAGATTATCGGTTGACCTTTCAGGTCAGGTCAATGACCCAAAAGTCGGGAAAATCGGGACCAGTTAGAACGTCGTAAAACGTGGTTACTATGGGGTTTTTAGGGTGCTGATTACGAATATCATGTTAGTTATGATAATAGATGATGTCTTAATGCATTTAGGCCAGGTTGAGTCAGGTCAGGTCAGGTCAACCAGTAAGAGTTTGGCGGATATTCGTAGTAGGTGGCAACCGCCTCTGACAGCTTCGTAACATGTTACGAAGGCACCAAAACTACTTGGTAAATGTTCAAATGGTTGCTAAATTCGAATTCAGCTAAAAAACTAGCCTAGAAACATGTAAAACTCGAAAAAGTGAACCGAGGTCATCAAAGGTCAATGACCTGACCTGACCTGACCTTCCGGTGACCTTGACACCCACCCTAATGCATGGGAGCAACATCATATCCCATGTTTGAAAGCTTGAAACCACGAAAAGACTGCAAACGCGCGGCTAATGCGAGCCGACATCAGCCGAATCGCGATTCCGGCCAAACATGGTCTCGAAAAGTAGGTCACAGGTCAAAGGTCATTAGGGTCAGGGTCATGAAATTTTAAGGGTAGGTGTAAAATTGATAAACGCGAGGGCACTCACAGTTTCGTCGCGATCGGCCGCTTTTTACGCGATTTATTCGCGAAAAACCATGGGGGGGTCCGTTCGACCCCCCCCCCCCCCCCTATACGGGCGAGGGTTAAGTGGTGCCTTCGGTAGGACCGGTTCGGAAGCATTATTGTGGGGTCCTCAGAGGTATTATTGATGACTGAGGCCAAAGAGGTGCCGGTGTGGACCCTCAGAAGTGCTAGAAGCTAGAAGTGCTAGAAGTGCTAGAAGTGCTAGGGCCTTACACAGGCCCTGAGAGACGCCAGTGAGGTTCCTCACAGGCGCCGTTGTGGGCCCTCAGAGACACTGGTGTGGGGCCGTCACAGACGAATGTGGGGCCCATAGGCATAGAGGCTAGAGCTGCTGGTCTGAACCCCTTACAAGCCGGCAGGGGGCTCTCAGAGACCAGCAAGGGGCCCTCAGGCCAGCAAAGGGCTCCCATAGGCCGGCGATACCTTCAGAAGCTCTGTGGGGTCCTTAGAGACCGGCACAATACTTTCAGACGCCGGTGGGGCCCTCAGAGTCGCCGATGTAGGGCACTCAAAAGTCACCGGTGGGTGGCCGCCAGATGCGCTGGTGTGGGGCCCTCAGAGGCGCCAATGTTGGGTCCTCAGAGCCGCTGATAAAGGTCCTAAAGAGGCACGGTGTGGGGCCCTCAGGAGTGCCAGCGTGGGGCCCTCAGAAGCACTGGTATGAGGCCCTCAGAGGTGGCAGTGTGGGGGCACTCAGAAGCGCCGGTGTAGGACCTGCACAGTCGCCGGTGAAGCCCTTCACAGGCGCCAATGTGGAGTCCCTCAGAGACACAGGGCCATCAGAGGCGCGAGCTGCTGTTGTGGACCCTTCATAAGCCGACAAGGGGATTTCAGAAGTCGGTGGTGCCTTGAGGAGCCCTGTGGAGTCCTTAAACACCGGCATGGTTTTCTCAGATGCTGCTGGTACCCTCCGAGTCACCAGTGTGAGGCCGTCAGAGCCACTGATGTGGGGTCCTCAGAACCGCCGATACAGGGCCTTTAGAGACACTGGTGTAGGCCGTCAGAGTTGGGGGGGGGGACCCTCAGATACGCCGGTTTGGGACCTCATAGGCGCCGGTGAGGGCCCTCAGAGTCGCCGTTATGGGCCCTCAGAAATTTGTGTGGGGCTATCACAGGCGGGTTCGAGGCCACTAGAGGTGGCCCGTAATAGGCCGGTAAGGGCCCTCAGAAGCCAGCAAGGGACACTCAGAAGGTGGCGTAGGGCCTTTATGGAGAACTTAGTGTCGCTATTCAGGGGCCCATGGGATGTCCTTACGAGCCCTGTGGGGCACTTCTGAGTCGAAATATGACAGAAATATGGTCAGTAAACCCTCAACGGCCAATTGGCGCCACAGGGCCCCTCGTGCCCGTGTGAGGGACCTGCGGGACCTGTTTAGGCCCTCAGAGGCGCCGGTGAGGGCTATCAGTCGCCATTACGGGGCCCTCAAAGAAATTGGTGTGGGACCGTCACAGACGGGTGTGGCCTGGGGCCCCTAGAGCTGGCCCCTAATGGACCGGTAAGGCCCCTCAGGCTGGTTAGGACGCTCTGGCCGGTAAGGGCCCTGAGGCCGGTAAGGGCCCTTAGAGACCGCTGAGGGCCCCCCCCCCCCTCCCGCTTTCGACGCCCATGGTCAGATCCCATTGCAATTGAACTCACCTGAATGAAGTGAACTATTGAAGAGTGTGCCTATCATTTATCAATCCGGTGCGTAGTAGCAAAGTCAAACTGCCAGCAGCGGGCTGACCACCCATCTTACGCATGCATATCTACCGCATAAAGTACCAGTATCTCGAACACCAGAGCTGTGGCGTGTTCTTTGCGTTTGCACCTTATAACGTGTAGTCAGTTGACTGCTGATTATTGTTCGTATTTCACAAAGCGTAAGAATTTGACACACAACAGCGACACAGTAAATCCCTCAAGTACTCATCTCTGGCTCCCGAAACACAAGTGCCGCCCTTCCCTTGGGATTTGATGCCGCCCCCGGAGGGAGTTATTTCCAGCCCATTTTTTGAGGAGTGATTACGCCCCTGTGAAGAAGTCAATAGACGAAACCGGTACGCCTTAAATGTAACTGTTTTAATAGTTTGATTCGTGGAGCCTGGAGGTTCATGTACTCACGATACAATATTGGTGATTCATATTCTGGGCCTTTTATCCAAACGAGTCCCCAAAGGTCATCCCGCCGGCGCTGCCCGCTGACCTAGACCCCTGCCGCCTCTGCCCGCGGCCGCGCCAAGGCCATGTAAACCCCGCGCTAACCCAACGCTGACCACTGACCTGTCCCGCCGCTCCACGAAGTGGTTTCTCGGCCGAGTTGCACGTGCCGTCCGCTGTCCGGTACTTCCTCTGTGGATCACAGTCGGGAAGAGGCGTCGCCTGACGCGGCGGCCGCGGCCGGGACGCGTTGGTGGACATCTGGAAGTGCTCGACGAAGTGCAGGACGTTCTGGAGGAACTGCCTGTAGTCCTCATCATAGGTCATGTAGCGCCGAGGAGCAGCGTGACGGGGCACCATGAGAGGCTCCGAGTGATGCGGCATCCATTCCGCATAACCGCCCGGAGACGTGGAGTGCTTCTTGGACGGGAACGTCTCAAAGTCCTCTGCAGTGAACGTCTCCTGCCAGGGCTCTTCATGGGCCTCCTGTTTGCGCAGTTGGGGGTTTTGCTCGGCGATAGTCTCCGTGAAGTGGTGCGCCGGCGGTGGACTATAGGCCGGGTAGGTGTGACGAGGGGTTGGGGAATAGTCTTCGCAGCAGTACTTCGACTTGTACCCGGCGGGGAAGGGTGTCTGACAGTCGCAGAGATCAGAGGCCGCTGCGACGCTGATGAGAAGGGAGACCTGAAAAAAATAGTGGACGATTTTGAAGTAATGGCGCAAATAAAGAGAATATTACGATTAGAGCAAATACTTATAAAAATCAAGAAAATAAAACACGGCATGTAATTCTGCGAAGCACGAGGCATGTTGCGTTTTGAAGGACGATAGAGTAACGACATTTTTTTATCAGATGATGAACGATAAGTGGCGTTATTAGTGGCGTAAGTCAGGCCATACAGTGCATACCAAATTGGAACTAGTATTTGTATGTTGCAAAAGAAGGTGCCAGCCAAATTGACCTTTCATGCATGTTACCAAAATGAGCGGAACCCAGCGTCCTTACCACAACAGCGACAGCGAGCTTCAGCATGGCGTCCACTGCTGCTCCCACTATCTGGCCAGTTTCCGAACAGCACGGTCACCGGCTGAGCATGACCCTTTATATCGCTCCCTCACCTGCACCTTCCGCTGCCACATGGCCTATCAGGACCTCGACTCGCCATGGCAAAGCACGTTTCGCTGAGCCACGCGTCTCAGCACCTGACCGAATCGGTCACCGTTCGACCCCCGGCGTGTCACCGCTGCTGCCATATCTCCACCGGGTCTCAGCATTGCTGCCATATTCGGCTTCCCTGGTTGGTGGCAGCGGCAGAGCACTGGGAAGGTTCATGCACCTTGCTGACACGGGAGTTAGCTCGACAAAGTCGTGGTCAAAGTGTCAACAGACGCGGGAAACGGCTGAGCGGCGGTTTGGAGATCAAAGGGGGCGCCGACACCGGCTCCGGAAGCAAGGTCACCGGAGGGAGTCGGAATCGTGACCTCGGGAGGCGCGTGGTAGAGAGGGGATGGCTGGAGAGCCTAAACAACAAATTGTTTTTTTTTTCAAGCGTAGAGCGTCAATATGTGCCTCGTGTTTACAATCAGAAGCTTCACTTTTAACCCGCGCATGACTGGGGAGGGGGGGGGGGGCTCTACAGAGCCCCCCTCCCGTTTTTCGGCAATATCTTCTAAACCGTTTAACGGATCAAAACGAAACTTGCAGTATTCTCAGCGGCATCAATTTGACACCTTGTGTTAAAGTTTCAACTTTTTAGCAACAATAGGTTGGCCAGAAATGACGTCAGAGTGACGTCTTGTCGGCCGATTTTGATGCAAAACATTGAATTACGGCAAACGCTCTCAAGAGCTCAATTTTAAAGCTAAATCCAATTTCTTTGCATCAGTGGACTGCAAATACACGTAGCTATCAAACTGCTATCTCGAATTGTCGAAATTTTTGAAAATTTTGAAAAACACGTTACAAAATTGATAAACGTTTTTGATTTTTTGCAAAAACGGAAATATATGTGATGATAGGAATATATGTGATACACACTGATGAACGACCCTAGCAAGTTTTAGCCCAATATCTTCAAAAATAGCCGAGTTATCTGCATTATTGTCAAAATTTTACAATTACCTGTATATTTTTCAAAACATTTTTCAGTACGTTTTTGACATCGCAGAGCAATATAAATGGCACCGTCGTGTTTCCGAGCTCAAACTGCATCTGATAGACACCTTTTTTGTTGACAACTTTCATTTTCAAATTTGATCTTTTCTGACCTGAAATTGACCTGACCTCCGGTAAATTCAGCTGAAAATGACCTCAAATGACACAGCCGACATTATTTTCGAAATCAATGTGTAAAATGGACCATGAAACATGCGTCAGGTGACAGATACATGATATACAATTTTCGTGGCCTAGGATGACCTGGCCTTGACCTGAAAAATTCGAAGTAAAAGTTATATACCCTCACGATATCTAAGGCATATATCAAGGAGTGCGTAAACCAAAAATGAGCCTGATCGGACTTCTCAGCCGGCGGCCAGAGCCTAAATTGTATGCAAGCAAAAATGCCGATAATTTTTACTTTGACCTGACCTGTGACGTCATCGGTGACCTTGGGGTCAATGAAAATAGATTTCGCTCGACAGTTTTTCCAGGGCTATCAGACTACGTTTGAATTTTGACGATCGGGCGAGTAGTTTCGGAGATAGGAGGGGGGCTCTGGAGAGCCCCCCCCCCAGTCACTCGCGTTATGGGAAATACCCCAGTACGTCATGCGCGGGTTAAGGGTCAGGGTCATAAAATGTTCAGGGTAGGTGTATTACAGCGAGGGCACTGAAAGTTTCGTCGCAATCGACCGCTTTTTACGCGAGTTATTCGCGAAAAACCGAGGGGAGGATTCCGTTCGACCCCCTTATACGGGCGAGGGCTAAACATCAACTAAAGTCAATGTACATCAGTTTTATTTTGGACCAGTATAGCGCCTTTTGGGGCGACTAACGGAGAGAGCGAAGGGGTGAGTCTTGCACGTGCGAAATTTCGAGGGGGTACCTCCAACTGACTTGTGCACGGCACCCTACTGACCGGTTTCTAGCGATGTGCCAAATTTGAGCACAATCGGCCCAGCCGTTCTCGAGATCTGGGAGCGGCACCCTGCACGTGCGCACGTGCAAAATGGGTCCCAACTGACTTGTGCACGGCACCCTACTAACTGGTCTCTAACCGTGCACCAAATTTGAGCGCCATCGGTCCAGCCGTTCTCGAGATCTGGAAACGACCCCTGCACGTGCGCACGTGCAGCAGCACCCCAATTCTGGCACATGGATATGCAGTGCCTAATGGGTACTTACCTACATGCCAACTTTCAGCGCAATCGGCCAAGTAGTTACCGAGATATTGCAACAATTACAAAACTGACACCTCTTCGTTTTGCACGTGGCACGTGCATAAGGGGTCACCCAAATGTATCGGGAATAGTCCAATACTTGGTAGAAGGAATGAAGCTACCCTACAAAATTTACCGCATGTAAATCGGTCAAGTGGTTGCTGAGATATAAGCCTCGCAAAAGCGTCCGCACGGCCGGCCGGCCGGCCGGCCGGCCGCTCATACTCAGAAATTTCCGTTAATCTAAGGAAAGACTACGCTCGCTTCGCTCGCTCCGTAATCAGATGCGCAGTTGCTGTCTCTTCTTGAAACCTGGGACTTCACCACACCATCAGAAAGCAAGCCGGGCCGACGCTTCAGGACGTGGGTCCACACGCTTTTTGCAATTTATTGTTGCGATGATGGAATTAAAATTAGTATTTTTTTCGCTACCATGGATATTCACTTTCACCTCACATTTTACCCATCATTGATTACGTTGGAATTAAGCAGGAAGCTCAAGCTTGGATGTTGTGGGATTATCATCACGGATGAAAAATTAGGAATCGCTTAGTCAAATTGTTATCAGTCTAATGAGCATATCTGCTCACTATTTTTTGGCTCACAGCACACCGTGTTTACACAACCATTGATGGCCAGCTGTCGCGAACACCGGACTCACGATCAGTGCCGTCACTTCCCTGTCGCGCTCTCCCTCCCACTCATCATTCCCTGTGCGACTGCCAGCTGCCCCCGGGGCATTGGCCAGGTTCACGGACAGCAGAGAAAGGCCCCACCGTGCGTCCGTAGCCCGGGGCGGTGACCGAACGAGAAAGCGAGAGTGCCCGGTGGAGCCATGGCACGAGCCTGCCTGCCTGCCTGCCCTGGGGCGGCGGGGGGGGGAGAGGGGAGGAGTGGATGATGACACGTGACCTCAGGGGAGAGTGAGAGGGGTGAGAATGGAATCGGGAAGTGAAGGTGGGTGAAGCGAGCTGAATAACCGATGTGTCAGTCGCTGGGAAGGTGCAGGTCTTTGTGCATTTGGTTAGTGCCTGAAGCTCAGTCTATTGTGTAAATGCCGTTACGATGCATCGCTATGCCTAATTAGAAACATTTCGCTGCCTAATTATAGCTACGGGCTTTAATTGGAACAATTTCGGATGGTAATGGTCGTTAGAAAAGATGAACTTTTAAGTGGTCTGCATTGTCGGGTTGCCTGTCCATCTGGTGAACATTCCTGCATCTGATTGGATCTCAAATTGACTTTTCTCATCCTTTCGTAATGTATTTATGTGCTCAATATCTAACCTTCCCCAATAAAAGCATTATATTTTTTATCGTTTTCCCTAAGTCCCATCAGACACCTCAAGCTCACCTTCTCAGTAAGGTCCCCTGTCGTCACAGAACCGTCTCCTCGTTTGCATGTGTTTTATTACAAAATGCCGTACCGCAATGGTCGGATCACATCGTGAACATCACCAAGTCACATCACAACAAGATGAGCGCACATCAACGTCATCACCATCATCATAATCATCATCAACACTAGGCAAGGGCGCGAATTCCCACACGATGACACTGCAATGTTGACCAGAGTGGCGAGCGGGGCGGACCAGCCGGACCCGTGACTCCAAACTAAGCTACGCACATATGTACACACCGATAAATAATTGTATAACAGATAAAGAGCAGCTGATTGGTGGCCGGACGCTGACCTCGGATAGGTCAGGTCAGGTCACAGACCCGCGGGCGTGGCGTAACAAGGGAACTGAAAGCCGTGTGGTGTGGAGCTCTGAAAACAGACAGAAAGTGAGGGTGAGTGGCACGTTATGCATTCAATGCGACACACACGCATTGATTGCGAGCGAATCATGGCTGCATCAACAATCACGGCAATAGCGAACGGTTGTTGAAAGATTACCTGGAGCACCTAGACATAAGCAGAGCTCATCATTCACAGTTCGCTGCTTGATTTACTTCTAGGCAAAAGTACTTTTTTAACCGTAATGAACGACCTAATTTGCAGTTGCGCGGTAAATTAACGGTACATTGACGGTAAACTGTTATTTACCGTCGCTAAAGCCGAGGTCGGCATGTGAAACGCTGGTCACCGTGACTTTTTAAATCGGTTGCACTGGAGATACCTGCTGGGAAGCGTTACAGGATTCGGATAGAAATTATTCCCATCTGGCGGAGCCGAGCGTTACGTGAAAACGATACCATTAACCGCGCCAGCTGAGGCATTGATTGTAGTGTGTTGGAAAGAGACTGCATTTCTTCCCACGAGAGTAGCGGCCCGGTGCAGATTTCAGGAATTTCACCGTGACATGCGGCTCGGTGGAACGAAGCTATGGCGGCAGACTGTGCGCTGTACCGATGTTGTGAATGCACGCATCCGTTACACCATGCTGTGCCATTGGCGCTTTCATCAGTCTCGCACCAAAGTACTACCGCTTAAAGAAGCATTGCAATTTGCAATGATGCTTCTTTCTAGCATGACTGCGGTGCATGCTTGAATGCCGGCAAGTGATATCATTTATAACAACAGCTTGGTACGACCGTGCTCATAAAGGAGACAGAATGATACTTTTCTGAGACAACCAAAAATTAGGTATTACATGGGATAAGGACCGAAACCAAAGTAGGTATTCGATTGGGCAAGGCTAGATGCCGTTGTCTCGTCGCAATGAGGAACAATTTGATCCTCCCACCCGCCCTCACGCACACCTCCTGAGGCCACAGCCGGCCGCGGGTGATCCCATTATACCGCCAGTGAAAGTGTTCAACAGTGAAAGTGAACGCCGCACCGGCGCTCCCATGGCTCCAATGACGTCATCAGCGGGCACCGGTGACGTCACCGGCGGAGGGCCATCTGAGACCGCCATGGGAACGCCGCCCACCCGTTACGAAACTCACGAACGGGCGTGAAGGGGCGCGGAACGCACCAGAGGGGTGACGAAACCGGCACAGCGACGAAACCGACGCCGCGCCGCGCCACAATTGACGACTCCGCGCCGGAGCGGTCGGCTTTTGTCCTTGCTTGAGGCCGTGTGGCCAGACAAATGGTTCAGGAAACTCACGGAGCGGAACGGACGCTAGTCCGAGCGCTGGATAAGTGGATAATACGATTGCGACATTGTAACTGTCAATGTGCCTCGTCTCCCCAGGGACGTTATATTTCAGCATGGTAGTTTGAGCGCTAATGGATTTTGCGTACTAGAGCGTGTCAGTGCAATATTTCCTAACAAAATTGTATGCGTGTCCTCGCTTGGTCACGGAGCCTGAGCTAACTGAGCTGGCCTTGACATGTGCGGCTCATGCGCGAGGTATTTATGACGTCATTTGTGGCACTTACCGCGGAGTCTATTTGCCGTAGCTGGGGTAGGTGGGCTTGGGGCAAACGGTGACGTACTGGTTCTGGTTCTGGGTCTGCAAGCGGAGAACACCGAAATCAGAACAGATGTCGAGCAAGTCACTGCATTCGACCTTTGGCTTCCATCTCTTTAAGAAGAGGAGGAAGAACCACTTTCATGCACGCAAAATGATGTTTTATCGGAACTGCGATTCAGTGAAGACAACATCTTAGAACTTTGATAGATGTATAAACTGAAGTTATTCGCTCCCTTTTTTATATCGCCGTAAGTAATGTCTCGCTATTGAAGCGTCTTCACAATGAGCGTGACAAGCCAAGCAAGTAACGGCGTTGAAAGTAGGTAAAGATCATGGATAGTGTCGAGTTAAGTTCGCGGACACCTCTTTGTGACGTACCTTGGTGACGGTGACGTACTGGTTCTGCGTCTCGGTCTGCGTGACGTACTTGTACTCGGGGTAGGCCGAGGTCACCGTCTGGGTCACGTAGTGGGGCACGTTCTGGGTCTCAGTCACGTACTGGTAGTCGACCTGCGGGAGGACAACAAGTCAGCGGTCAGAGGTGCGGAGAGGGGACACCCTGGGGTCACTGAAAGAGAGGAGGTAAAGAAGATTTGGGCCAAATTCTTAAGTGTATCCTCATCAAGGACATTCAAGTCACATACTATGCGAATTAGATCTGCCTGTAACTACCAGACTCCTGATCTTTTGCGCAGTCATGTAGCTACCATAATGCCTCATGATCACTCAAATGTCCATGGACATGATCGAGAGCTACTTTAGAAATAGCACCCATGCAGAACTTATGCTCGAACGCTACGCATTAACCACCGAACTTCCTTGTTGCTAATCTCCATCTCATTCCTTGAACTTCCTCGGCCCTCATGTCCTTTGCCTCTTCGTTCCTCCATAACACAGTTCTCATCCTTTCCGCTAATCTTCCTATCTCTCCCAACCGTACGCCGTGTCATACTCCATATCGTACCACGTACCTTGGTCTCGGTGACGTACTGGTACTCGGGGTAGGCCTGGGTCTCGTAGGCCGTCTTGGTGACGTAGTACGGCACCTGGGCCGTCTCCGTGTAGTACTTGCTCACCACCTCCGTCTCCGTGTAGTAGGCCTTCTCCGTCTTTGTGACGTACGAGGTCTCGGTGAAGTACTGGTGCTCGGTGACGTACTGGGTGTCGTACAGCACCTTGGTGCTCACCTGGGAGAAGAGAAGATGGTAAATGACACTTAAAGGCCGTTCGAACTGACCATCGTGGTCCTTGAAGAGGGACGAGGAGGTGGACTAACTGAGGCAGTCCAATTACGTTGACCATTTACGCTACCAATTACGTTGATGGTTGATATAACTAGGAGCTTCGCATTCCTACGATTTGTCCGGCATTGTTTCGCTTACTTCAATCGGAATTCGCATCGTGATTACGGTTCAAGTCTCAGCGAATATCACTAACCTAATCTTTTATAAGCTTTTCAAGGCTTTGCACTTAATCTAGTTGAACAGGAATGCCATTTTATCACATATGTAACTTTCCAAAACCAGGAAAAGCCCGGAACCATACCCCTGCCGTTAAGAAGACATCCTCTCCCTTCTAACTCCACTGATGATCCCTGTTTCACTCACCTTGACCTCAGGGGCCACGTAGCTGGTGACGTACTGGGTCTGGTACTGAGTGCTCGGGTAGTACAGGGTCTCAGTGACCTGCTGGTACAGCGTGGTCGGCTGCAGAGCCGTGTACGTGTTGTACTGGGTCTCGTAGCCGATCTTGGTCGAGGTCACTGTGGAGAGACGCGAAGGGTAAGTTGTGAGAACACCGAGAATCAATGTGGAAATGTGGAGAAAAGGGGGCGGCGTAAGGAGATGAGGAAGAGGCAGAGGATATGAGAAGAATACCTACGTGGTGGATCCTGGGATATTAGAGATGCAGGAGAGATAGTTAGGGAGATCTTGTAGTTCAGATAGCTACGGAGCGATGATAAATGGTAATGACGAGACTAATAGATCTTTTATCTGACGTGCTGAACACTAATCTCGAAACCGTAATTGAAAGCTCGTAAAAGACGTCATCCCAACAGCTGGGTGGGGAAGCCCTCATCGCCCCGCTGAGTTCCGCTCTCTGCCCAGCTAGTTCCGCTCGGTGCCCGTCCAGTACTTTCGTTCAGGCCCTCCCGGTCGGTACTCACCGGTGATGTAGTGGGTCTCCGGCTCGCAGGCGGGCGTGCCGTAGCCGGTGGACGGGGCGGGGGCCGGCGCGTCGTACGAGGGCGCGATGGGAGGAGCACCGTACTGGGGATCAGCATCGGGCTTGGGCAGGGCCGAGGCCACTCCGACCAGAAGCAACAGCGCCAGCGCGTTCATCCTGGGGGCGAGGGGAGAGGGGTGTCACAAGGGTGTGCACTGGGGCCCATGGAAAACTCTGTCGCGGGCGAGCGGAGAGGGGTGCCACAGGGCTGTGCACTGGGGTCAATGAAGAAATCCTGCCGTCTATTCGAGTCTCCATGGGGTGAGAGCAATAATCGTTTAGCGCAAGATGATAAACAGCTCAGGATAGATAGGCTGACGTCCAGGAAAGGAAGAAGAAAATTAAAGGAAGGTGAAAGAGGTAGAAACTGAGGGAGACAGATGGAGAAAAAGAAATATTTAGCGTAGTAAAGCCAAAAAGAGCTTTTGCAGGAGACGAGAGAGAATCTTGCAGTGCCGTCTTGTAGTCTCAATGAGACTGTAAGATGCCACTAGAACTAAAATGCCTACCTACATGACAAACATTACAAAAGATGGCAAAAATTCAGCGTTTAGCCCCGCGGATATGGTGATCGATGCGAAGATATTATTCAGATTTAGTACTTTGAAAAGTAGAAAGACAATTTTATGAAAAGTTGCTAATAATTGGCAAAATGAGCACTCAACAGCTTTCTTAACCCGCGCCCGGCTGGGGGTCCTGGATTTCCACGCCCTGCTGGGGGGGGGGGTGTTTGAACACCCCCCCTTCTAACTCGGCTCCTGGGCCACGTAGCGATACGCGGAAGGCGGCGTTCGAAAGAGCGTAAAAAATAATGACGAAATCACTTCGGTCAATTTTTTGGTCAGGTCAAAGGTCAGGTCACCAGAGGTCATTGAAGGCAAAATTTCGCCGATTTCCAGGTCGAATGTCGACAATTTCCAAGAAGCCAGCGCATAACTCGGGAACCAATAGAGCTACAGCGCCGCGGAAAAGCGCATTCGATAGCCCTATTAACGCCCTTTCTGAGTAATTCTCTCAGATTTGACCTAACGTCAACGGTTTTGCCTGCAGGGGGCAAAAACTGCAAAAATAGCCGATTTTTTCGGAAACAGTTTTTCTGCAATAACTTTTGACCCAAGCCTTGTACGAGCTTACTTTTACCAGCATCGTGTTCCTCTCGTCAAGACGCATCGAATGAACTATAACTTGACCTTGAAAGGTCAACTTGAAAATTTGACCTCAGGTCAAGGTCATGACCTGACCGGAAAGGGTCATGTTGCATATCAGTCGATCCGTATCGTCGAGCTGAACACATCTAAGGCGTTTTCATCGCTCTAGCATGCCTCTATCAACAGTTATTTGCGAAAAACTGTTAGATACCATTCGTGACCTAAGATGACCTCAGGGCATAAACAGGGGTCACGGACACCATTTCCATGTTCAGTGTGTCTAAACCACTTGTAATTCAGTGTTTGGGAGTGTTTATAATGTCTTTCGTCCAAAAGAGGCGCATTTCAATTTTCTCCCATTGACTTACCTATAATGGGGAGGTCGCAAAATTGACCTGACCTTAGGTCATCGATATCAAAATTCTGAGATATAAATTTTGTACATGCTATTGCTCTTAGCAATCGCTGAAAGTTTCAAAGCGATCGGTCACTCGGTGTAGCTATGACAGACATTGAAACTTTTTATGAGGTGAGGTCACTTCAAGTGACCTGGTGACCTGACCTTGAATGACCTTGGTCTGAAATTTTCACAACATGTGTAGAATTGATGTATGATAAGGTGTACCAAAAACGGCGGCGCTCCGCGCCGCCGTTTTTGAGATATTCGCGAAAAACCACAAGGGGGGTGTTCAAACACCCCCCCCCCCCAGCAGGGCGCGGGTTAAAGTAAAGAACACAAACGATGGCTCTTAAATTTAAGAACATAAACAATGGCTCAAAGCGAAGTCAAAGAGCGAAAACCGCAAATCACCGAGATAGCTCAGCCGATAAATCACCACTTCAAAATCACCATAATCTCCCAAAAACCCAACCAGCACTGCTCGCCGCCGTCCGATCACCACGAGTCCCACTGGTCACTTCACCGCGCGCAGCTGACCTCAGGTCAGGTCAGGGCGGATAGCTCGCCGTCCACCGGACCCGGCTACTTACTTGGCTACGTCCGACTGCTTGTGGAGCGAAAGACTGACGTTCCATCGGCGGCGCGTGGCTTTATACCCGACGCCGGGCGCATGGGGCGTCACTTTCGTTCGACGCCGGTATGACCCAGATATAGACAGCGTGCGCGTAAGGTGGCCGTCCTGAGGATCATAGGACAGGGACAGCGTCCTCACAGGGATAGGGGATGTCCGTGAGGGGGTAAGGGACAAAGGGACGACTGAGAGATATCACAAGGAGGGTATAAGGGTAAGAGGTTAGAAGGGACGGGATAGAGCAAACGAGGAAGCGATAGCCGCCCACTGCCCACGTAGCGTTTGCAGGCGTAATGTTAGAGGGATATGCATCCCTTCGTTCCCCATAGCAGGCAACCCATACTAAGAGTGGAAAAAATGAGCGACGTAGCATGGCAATGCATACATAGCTGATGTGTGGGAGCTTTGATTGCTTTTTGGATGAGGGGGAAAGGAGGACTGGGATACATGCAAGTCGAAATCATTTCGTTGGCCGACATTATTTCTCTGAACTCTGAAACTCTTATTTCATAGCTCTTCTTATTAGTTACGATCGAAGGCAATCATCCCGTCGTTGAGATGATATTACAATGGGGATGATGAGATTGCTGACTACAAAGTAGAGATCAGGACTCACAGGAGTAGGTTACACGATGACGGGGAAACGACGAGGCGAAGGAGCAACAGCATTGAGCAACAGCATGTAAAGGATAGGCCGGGTGCCACTCCGCTGGCAGATGTGACAAAGGATCATAAGTGGAGAATGGAGCGTGTAAACGGTTTGGATGGAGGATAATGAGTGAGACTTTGCCGTTGGCTCTAGTAAGTAAATGTAAGAATGTTTTTGAGGCGAAGAAAGCCAGTGGAGTCCGGCTGACTGTTGGGCACATACATTAGCATTTGTAGCATTAGTAGCCGTTCAGCATTAGTAACATGGTAGCATTAGTAGCCGTTCAGCATTAGTAACATGGTAGCATTAGTAGCCGTTCTCACGACGGCACATTTGGTTATATTAGGTAAATTTGGTCAAAATATCTACGTGCATAGTTGATTCTAAATAGCTTCCAGTTTTGGTAGCAATTCTTTGTTGCTTTCATGTCGTATTTTTATCATTAGAAATTATTTTCGATTAAAACAATGAAATGAATTCATGGTTTGAACATAACTGCTGTGAATATTTGGTTAGATTTCGTCAAGTTTGGTGCATTCGTCAGATAGCCCGTCGTTAAAACGGCTGACATGACTTCTTTTGCAAAGTCAGGTCGACAGCGCGAAACATGAAACTTCGTCACTCGTTTTATTTTCGTTTTTGCCAACTATGACTTTTGCCAACAACTATGACAACTATTTTTGTATGCATTTATGCGAATCAGGGACACGTTCATGATAGTGGTCAGTGGTCGCCTTAGTTTTCAATCGTATGCGAAGATAGGAGCCATCAAGAAGAGTTAATAAGACAATTTTATCCGGAAGATTTAATGCTCGAGACCTTCAACCTTCACAGATTTGCAACCATAATTATTTAGCGTGGCAAGGCCTTCCATGTTGACCATTTTGCTAGCACGAGCGGTCGGTCATGTTCTAAATGGATATTTTTTAGTTCGAATAGCCTAGTTACTTTATAATCGTATCCGTCATATGATTGCGTTTTCCTTATTTTGTCCTTCAACTTGCCGGACCAAATCTTAGATTTCAAAGTGCCATTCGATAGGTATCTTTCGGTATATCATTCGATCTTTTGTTTTCAATGTTTTGCTTCTCAGCAGTGTTCACCATGGGCCGGGCCAGCCCAATGGGCTATGGACTGGGCTGGGCTACGGGCTGGGCTGGGCCCTCAAATATGAATGATTGATGGGCTGTGGTTGGGCTGTGGACGGGCTGAGCCATGAGGACTTTAAAATTGACTGAGGGGTTCGCGACTGAGCCAAAAACCATAACTATATAGCTTATTACTGTGCAGTGTGCAACGCTCAAAAACCAGTAAATAAAGCATACACGCATAATAAGAATTGGGCATGCTGCTCCCATAAGATTGTTTCATTCTTCCCTTAACTTTTAATCCATTCATTTTTGACGGACTGGGCTGGGCTGGTCTGGGCTGGGCTCTGGTTTTTCTAACCATGAATGGGCTCGGGCTGTGCCTGGCTGTGAACCCATGGGTCTGGGCCGGGGTGACTGTGATTTTTCGGCCCGTGGCGAACACTGCTTCTCAACATTTTTGTTTCAATATTTTACCTGTCAGCATTTCATCGGTCCATATTTTGTCTTTTTCGCGTTTTGTCTATTCGATATTTTGCGTTCGACATCTTGTAAACTCGATTTTATTTCTATTGCTGTAATTTGACTAGATATTTGGTTATTTTGATATTTTCAATAGGATATAATGCGATTCAATAGTCTGCGATTTCCATAAACTGCAATTTTAATATATTTGAAATTCAATATAATGCTTTTTGACATTTTGCCTTTGAAACTTTGCTTCTTTATCTGTTCTAGATATTTTGCGAATCGCATATTGCGTTTCGATATGCATTAAGTCAGTTCTTTGGCACTTCCTTCCTCGGGTTTTGACAGATAAGCATTTTTTGGAAGTTTGTGGTTTTTACTGGAACTTTGATTTTCGATTTTTGGGAAACCTGCTCAGCGTACCTATAGCGGTAAGTTTGCCTATTTATCTGCTCAATCAACATTGTGCTCTGAAATAAACAGTCTGTAAAGCCTAAAACATAATGGCAATTAACACTATGCCGTGTTGGATAGTCCAGCTGGCCAGGTGGGTCTGGCATCGCAGCAGCACTGACGACTGCGTCAGCAGTATGAACTCAATCACTTGGATTTGTCCGCTATCTCGCCTTTTGAACTTCATAATGTCTTTGTTGCCCGGATCGAAGAAATTGTGCGTGGAAGGGAGAATGCTGAAGCTCCAGATCGGTTTGTGTATCGCATATAGGGAAACACGCATTTTACATTGGCTTCCTGTATTTTTGTATATGTTGAAGTGTTGTGATGATGTAAATTGTGTATACCTAATGTATATGTACCGATTTCGGTACGAAATAAACCATTTTTATTATTATTATTGTTATAAAATGGGAATATTTCTCCAGAACTGCATAAATACTTGACCGCTTACTTTAAGTGAGGTCGAATTAACCCGCGCCCTGCTGGGGGGGGTGTTTGAACGCCCCCCCCCCTTGTGGTTTTTCGCGAATATCTCAAAAACGGCGGCGCGGAGCGCCGCCGTTTTTGGTATACCTTATCATACATCAATTCTACACATGTTGTGAAAATTTCAGACCAAGGTCATTCAAGGTCAGGTCACCAGGTCACTTGAAGTGACCTCACCTCATAAAAAGTTTCAATGTCTGTCATAGCTACACCGAGTGACCGATCGCTTTGAAACTTTCAGCGATTGCTAAGAGCAATAGCATGTACAAAATGTATATCTCAGAATTTTGATATCGATGACCTAAGGTCAGGTCAATTTTGCGGCCTCCCCATTATAAGTCAATGGGAGAAAATTGAAATGCGCCTCTTTTGGACGAAAGACATTATAAACACTCCCAAACACTGAATTACAAGTGGTTTAGACACACTGAACATGAAAATGGTGTCCGTGACCCCTGTTTATGCCCTGAGGTCATCTTAGGTCACGAATGGTATCTAACAGTTTTTCGCAAATAACTTTTGATAGAGGCATGCTAGAGCGATGAAAACGCCTTAGATGTGTTCAGCTCGACGATACGGATCGACTGATATGCAACATGACCCTTTCCGGTCAGGTCATGACCTTGACCTGAGGTCAAATTTTCAAGTTGACCTTTCAAGGTCAAGTAGTAGTTCATTCGATGCGTCTTGACGAGAGGAACACGATGCCGGTAAAAGTAAGCTCGTACAAGGCTTGGGTCAAAAGTTATTGCAGAAAAACTGTTTCCGAAAAAAATCGGCTATTTTTGCAGTTTTTGCCCCCTGCAGGCAAAACCGTTGACGTTAGGTCAAATCTGAGAGAATTACTCAGAAAGGGCGTTATTAGGGCTATCGAATGCGCTTTTCCGCGGCGCTGTAGCTCTATTGGTTCCCGAGTTATGCGTTGGCTTCTAGGAAATTGTCGACATTCGACCTGGAAATCGGCGAAATTTTGCCTTCAATGACCTCTGGTGACCTGACCTTTGACCTGACCAAAAAGTTGACTGAAGTGATTTCCTCATTATTTTTGACGCTCTTTCGAACGCCGCCTTCCGCGTATCGCTACGTGGCCCAGGAGCCGAGTTAGAAGGGGGGGGGGGGGTGTTCAAACACCCCCCCCCCCCAGCAGGGCGTGGAAATCCAGGACCCCCAGCCGGGCGCGGGTTAAACCACAGCAGAAAAAAAAATCACTGAACGCTCTAACCCATTCAACAATTAGCAGCGCAGCCTGGCAATGGCCTTCAGCGTGTGAAAATGAGTGCAGGGTCCAGCGGCCAATGAGAATCGCGACCGCGACCGTCAGCTGCTAACGATAATCATCGCTGAACATTGCGCAACAGTCCTCCGCCGCAAAGTGCTACCGAAGCGCATCGAACTGCCCTGGGTTACCGAGACTGCTCACGGTCAGATTTACGTAGGTAGCGTACTGTGCGAAATTAGGGCAATGTGTCACGATATTTAGCACGCTGGTGACACAGCTGACTAATGATAGGCATAACATAGGAATAAGCAGGACAGTGGTAGCGTCAATATCTTCTGCCAGTAAGTCATATGCTCACTTAAATTTACGAAACTCAGAACGGTCATGTCATTGTCATGTATCGCAAGGATTGGCGGGTCCATTGTTTTATCGTTATCGCAATGTCTGCTATTTCGGGAGACTTTGTGTATGTGTGTGTGTTTTGTGTCAGAGGGTTTCTTTGTAAAGATAGAGGCTGTTCACTGCGCACTATGTGCGCGAAAACGTGTCACACACTTTGGATTGGAACAAACTTCAATGCAAGGTCGAAGGTCATTGCGATTCCACTGGCCATGAAATAGATCTGTCTGTGATCTGTTTGATTCCTGCTTGCACATCCCCATTGTTTCTAGAATAATGGACAAGTTGCTGAATAGCATATACTGTGCACAGTGTGCAGGTGCACACACTTGAGTATCATAGCCATTGTTGGCAAATAAGCGTAAAAAGAGTTGTTCAGGTTCAGTTATGATCTGCAATATCTCAAGATAATGAAGCTAACGCAGAATATAAGGGACGGTCGTCAATAAATATTTATATGACACTGACAACTCCATTCTATGTGCAGACTGCAGACACATGCTTGCAAGCTGCTCAGCTGTAGGTATATGGTGTGTCTTGATGTGATATGACATGCGTAG